GGAGGCCGTGCCCCGGCTCCCGTGCCTGAGGGCCAGGGCCTCCCTTCCCAATGCCCGCGGTAGGACCCTCGGCGAGGGAGGTGACGGACCTTGCCTAAGGGCTTTGCTACTGAGCCCCAGAAGCGGCAAATCTGGAGGGAGGAGCCAGCGATGGCTCCCTACGGCTTTGTGGGGGGGGGGGGGGCTTTTTTTCACCTGCTGCTGCTGCGTTTCGGTGGCAGCAGATGCCGCCTCGCAGGGAGCGCTGGCAGGGACCCGTGCTGCCAAAATCTCTCCGAGGCGTTGCACTCCTCGCCTCCCGGCCAAAGCAGCGGCCCTGCGGGTCGCGGGCATCACAGCGGCAGGGGTTGTCCCCATGCCCGTGTTGCTACTCCGGGGATGACAGAGAAAATGGCGATCCTGAGCAGGCATGGGACGGCTGCCCTCTGCTTGGAAATGGAATTTGTTAGCTTTGCACTGGTGTTTTTATTTTCATAACCGCCTCAGCTTTGCCGCAGCGTTTGCATAGAGCAGCGGGAGACCATTACCCTGGGATAATGCTCAATCCCACTGACATTACCTGCCTCGCAGCGGAAACACGGGGGATCTCTGCCAGCTCCTGCTGGCTGGGTGGCTGACCCTTGGTTAGGGGGAATGGCTGCAAAAAAATAAAGCCCTCTTCTATTACAAAGTTTATCCATCCAGCAGTTTGTGATTTTAATATGAAAAATTACCTCGGTTATTTAAAAAAGCTGGCAGTTGAAATTCAGTTTGGTTTGGGTTTGGTTTGTTGTTTTTTTTTTTGAGGTTGGATAAACAGTTGGTAAGTGCCATCCCTGCCTTTAAGAACTCACTAAAAAAACCAGCATGATTTGATTTGTTTGTACAGCGAAAAGATTGTTCTTTAATCCCTTCGGAGCTGTTGGATGTGATACTCCTGCCAGTCGAACTAATGAAAAATCCTCTGGCAAGATGTGTCAGGAAACCTGGAGATGCTCCCTCGCCTCTCCTGAAGACGGGGCGTATCCTGAAAATGGTGGAGCAAGGGACACAACTCCTCCAACCCTTCGTGAAACACAGTAGCCATGCTCCATGCTGGAAAGCAGTGTGGGGATGGAATTATCTGATGTAAAATTGGACCCAATTATCAAACAGGAGGTATAGGAGATTTTTTTTGCTGGGGGAAAAAAACCAAACAAAAACCCCAAACAACACTATGCAATAATCACTTAAGTAGTTTGTTTTTTTTCTCCTTGGTTAGATCAGTACAGTGAAGTATTTTAAAAATAATTAATGTAATATTTGTGTTATAATCTTAGGTATTCCAAATAGCCATTAATTCTTTAATGAATATGAATGATTAATTCAGTACATAAAGTGTGTGAAATAATAACAGAAATTAAATCAGGCACGTTGCACCTGGCTGGGGAGGAGGAAAGAAGTTGCCATTAAGGAATAGAGCAGTTTGGGTCTTCACATCAGTTACAAGGATAAAATTAAACAGAAATAAGCTAATTGGATCTTACACGGGGCTAAACTGAACCCCTCTTGGGCTCAGCTCAGTTGCTGAAGCATGGTCACCTACTACAGTTTGAGACGCCCTCCAATGCTGAAGACGTGGGGATGTGGGGCTGGGCAGAGTTCACACAGGACCTACCGGGCAGGGCGGGTGGGAACAGAGAACTCGCACCTATGTTTAGGCAGCTGAACCAGGACCAGCCCTTTTTAGTCACTTGCTGACATATGTACGTGTATTCTTAAAACCCACTGTTTTCTATTAATGGAACTAGGAATTTTTGTAATGATTTAATATGGGAGATCATCCTTAAATAATGGTAGTTTCAGTCTCCTCTGTTAATCAAATATCTAAGCAGCAATTTCAGGGACTTACAGCTAGCCATCAGTTTTGGAAAAAAGTCTAGCAAGCATTTTTTTATGTTATTATTTCAAATATATCTAATTCCAAATGTGTTTATTTTATAGTAGAGTACAAATTATGCAAATCTTAGAAGCTAAAAGAGAAACAATATAGAACAGCCAACCTGAAACCTCCCTAATGCTTTTTACTCAAAATCTTCAAAATATCTCCTGAAAAGCTCCAAATGCAAAGAAACATTTTCTCAGCAAAAACATGCATTAAAATTTTCTGCACTGGGAATCTTTCAGATTCATCACAATGGTTCACACATTCACTAGAAATAATAAGAAAAACAAGATTACATTCCTCTACCCTTTCCCATTCCAACAACTTCCCTCGAGAGAGATGATACATATATATATACATGTGTGTGTATGTCTGTACACCCATAACTTGCTCTCTTTTTTTGTTTTATTAATTTTTGTTAACTTGTCTTTATATGTTACTTGGGAGAAAGAAAGATACCAAATCGGTTCAGGGGATGAGGACGTAGCTCTTTGGTGTACCGATGAAAACTAATTCAGGAAACAGACAGTGAAATATTTATCTAAGAATTCTTCAGAGCGGGTAAGTGTTTAGTTGTTGATATAATCCCAGAAAACAGGCTCTGATGATCATATTATACTTTAATTATCACAGGAGTTCAACAGTCAAACAATTATCTTTTAATTTCCTCACCAAGATCTACGTACCTCACAGAATTTTTCTAGAACTGGGAAATCTAATGAGAGGTTTTACTTGCAATTTACTGTTTATTGTATAAATATATAGAGAGAGTATCCTTAAAAAAAAATAAACCTCACGGCTAACACTGGGAATATTTCTCTGCAGTTAATAAGCCAGTGTTTATTGGTGAAGTATCTTCCTTTCTAAACTGTGCTGAAGGATGTAGAAGAACAGTTTTAACAGTGAAAGGTGTGGCGTCCACACACAGTTGGCATCTGCTCAGATTTCAATGGCCAGTCCGTATTAACCTGTCTTTGAAAATGCATATATGGCACTGCAAGTAGAGAAGAAAGATGCACCAAGAAATGGGATGATTTTTTTTTGAATAATGAAGGCTAACATGTTAAAAGTAATACATCTGGAAAATGACAATTGAGGAAATTCTATAGTATGTCTTGTAAACCTTTTTACTGAAGTTAAGAGTATGTCATTAATAAAATGCGTGAAATTAAAAAAAAAAAAGATTTTCCTTAAATGAATTGCTTTTGGAGACGTCTTAGGAAGCATTATTTTGACAATGTTAATTGTTGTCACTTTCTTTTTTGATAAATGGATTATGCAAAATTAATTCCCTCGCTATGTAGATTTAATCCACAACACAGGACCACTGTCAGAATTTTAAAGTATTTTGAGTTTTCTAATGAATAGATACAAAAAAGCCATACTCAATTAATTTATTAGTTTGAAAATTGAAATTATAGATCAGTCACTGTCTTTATCTACAGTTTCCTGCATTTGACCAAATCCTACTGTATGAATGCCCGGAGAAAATCCTTATAGGATATTTTTGAAGACAAAGTTTTATCATAATATTCCAAAATGTTGAATAACTCTTCTTCAGTTAGGTCAATGCTGTAATCATGAAGAACCTACAAAAGACAGAGACAACGTTAAAATTTATTCCAGTACTTTGGGTGAGCAAGAATTAAAAATATTAGTTTATCTTGCTAAAATGTCTTTACAAAATAACTTGATGATTCAGCTCCAATCTGTCTTAGGGTTCTCAGAGTATTAGCAAAATCAAACCTTCCTTTATTATCTCTTACTCCTCCCATGCCAATACTGACTCCCTGGGATGCATGTCTGAAAACCTGCATACACAGGGGTTTTGTCCAATTGCCCAACCAGCACTTGCCTGAGGGAGCATTGGGAAATGGCTAGCCCCCATATGCATAGAAGCTAATTTACAAAAAGTACATGTTTAAAAGGCTTTCACTACTATCTGGAGATGAGATGCAGAGGTGGAATATCTTCTTTTCTATCCTCCTTGGATGATCTGCAGCCTTTGCATCCGGAGAAACAGAAGGAATAATCCAGTCGCTCAAACTGTGCACAGCCCTATGTATATAATAATGCCCATGATGCACTCAGTGCTTTTAATTTCCGTGGGACAAATGCTCAGCCTGTAAGTATGCTGTCCTAACACTTCAGTGAGAACCCAACTAGAACAGGACTCATGTGGTTCACCTGATGCTAAAAGCCAGGTTAGATACCTGCATCTTTCAAATATTTCACCTGGTGCATTTTTTTCAGCACTTCAACAGTTTTAAGCATTCTCTATGCCCTAACAGGAAAGAAAATAATACATTGATTTCTGAGGATTATTTCTGGTTTTAGATGCATTTGGGAATTTAAACCCTGAAATTGACCAGCACCACAGTGTGTCCTTGTGTGCTGCACCAGTTGTCATTAGTTTTCTGGCAAACTCAGATTAGTCTGCCCCTTTCCCTCTTAACAGCTCAGCATCAGAAATCACTAATGACCCCTTGTAGATAGTACAGCCATAAATAGCAGTGTTACTGAAGTTAGCAGAGAGCTAATTTCCCCATTTCAGTAGATTAAGTTACCTAGGAGATAAAGGGATCTGTACCTCCACAAATCACTTGATATCTTGTCAAACAGCAGATTAACACCTTTGTAGTAGGATTTTGGAATTGGGGATTGCATGAGGAGTTAGTTTTTTGGTTGTGGGTTTGTTGGTTTATTGTTGGGTTTTGGGGGGGTTTTGTTTGTTTGTTTGTTTCCTTAGCTTAAATCACGTTAGGAAGCTTGATTTGAAAGTCATTGACATTGCTTGAATTATAAATGGTAATCATCACATGTCCTAGAGGAACATGACAAATTAAAATCAAATGCAAGGGAGCCTGATCTTCATTCCTTCTCCCCTGAGCCTGGTCTGCTAAGACAGCGCCCAAGCAGTCAGAAAGCTGCAGTGATAGACAGGGAGCCTCAGGCATGAAGTTGATACAGCCACATTGATACATCTTCCTCCTCAGCCTTCCTCAGAGGAGCAGGCAGGGACTTAGGTTTCAGCTGTGTGTCAGTGCCAGAACATATCACATTCCCACCAGTCCTAAATAAGTAAAGATTTAAAAGGGCACTTCTGAGACTGGTACAATCAGCCAGGTTTATAGTCTACCAGGCAGCAAGCTGGCTTCCTGGGGAAGGGGAGTGTCAGAAGCACACCTTATCATTGCTTAGTGCAGCCAAGCATTTGCTTACTGTGATTGAGCATCCCGTCCGCTGGTCAATCAGTTCTTTGAAGCAGTAGTGATACCAAGGGGTGTCCTAATGCATGCAGCATTAAATGGGTTTAGGGCCCTACGCTATATTTTTTTTTTCTTGATTTGAATAAAAAATATTTAGAATTACTCCAGAACAGATGATTATCATTCCTAGTTAAAACAATATCAAAGATTTTGAAACCAGCACAGCTAAGCAAAAATCAAACTCCCCATGGATCTAGACGAAGAATCACTGATAACCAGAATACACAGGTCTGTATTTGAGGAGATACAAGGGGCTAAAATATTTGCAGAGGATAAGGATCCCTTGCCTAGTACAAAACTGTGCTGCGCACAGCAGATCAGAGAGAGAAACCAGAAACAGACACTCCCATATGGGGATTGCTTGAGCCTGTTCCACATTTAGAAGGGACCACACCAGTTGGAAGGTCACAGGATCCTGCAGCTGTAGCAGTGCCTGAAGGGAGACCTACCAGAAGGTACACTTCCATTCCCTTCCCACATGTTTGTGAAAGATACACATTTAAACTTTGTATAGAGACTAAGGTTTTTCTCTGTTTTATCTATTCAGGACCCCACTTAGACCTCAGACCTCAAGGAAGTGTAATCACATGCGGAGAAAGGTTATTGTGAGTAATGGCCAGAGCTGAAGTCACAAAGCAGGGCCAGAATGAGCTTATGCATTCTGGTTCGGTACCATTTTTCAGAAAATTTTCAGTCAGGAAGCTCAGGTTAGACTACTGTAATTATCTGACTATTAATTGCTAAATGCAACTTACTTGTCTGAAATCTGCAATATGTAACAGTCCAGTATGACTTTCATCATAGGATTTAAAAGTTCGCTTCATTGGTCTCCAGCAGCGCAAGATCTGGGGCTGAATTCTCAGCATTGCACTGAAGAACGACGTGGTTTGTGGTCCAGGACTCATCTAACAAAGTTGGATGAGAAAGAATCCATTTACTAACATCATCAGGAGCGCAACTGGGCACAACTATAACGCAGAATGAAAAGGTGGTGGACTGTAATGCTGCCTTAATCTGTGACTGGCTGCTGCATACTTGTTTACAAATTATTGCAAGATACTGTTTGCACAAGATTATTTTAACCTATAACATTTTGATATTTTTGGGAAGTGCAGATGGTATATTTACTTAATCACTGTCAAAGCCCTAACTTTTTATTATTTGAAACTGATTCTGAAGTCAGTGTTACTTCTGCTCAGATCTCAGTGTTTTCACATGTATTATGCTTGTCCTTGTTTCAACTTCCTCCTTCAGTAATTTTTAATTCTCTGCATTTTTCAGAGTGAAATTTTGGCTTAAAAGTGACTGAATGTATAAGCCAACTGTGGGACCGGTACAGTATTTAAGAAAAAACAACCCCCTACTGTACACTGTTCCCAGTACATAAAATACCTTGTAACCAGCTTTTGAACCTTTCTGTAGTTCCACAGCTGGACCATAGGGTTAATTTTCCCTGGGACATGTTGTGGCCTGTTGTGTTTTTAGCCTGGCTAAACTTGTTACATTGGTGTACCCTGAACACATGCAGAACTATTCATTAAGGCAAAATTAATTCCACTTTTACAAAGCTTTGACACTGGAGTGGTGAGTATAGGACTTTGGGAAAAGTCAGCAAGCCCCAATCTGCCTGCAGGGCCTGGATCTGCTCTCCTATTTTCTTAAAATACAGTTCCATCTCAGCTTCCCCCTACACGCTCCTGGTATTTATTATTGTAATTGGATAAGTCGATAGTGCCCCATTCGTGCCAGTTGCACATGCCACTGGAGTCTCTACAAGCATCTCCTTGTGAAGGAAATGCGCGATTGGCTTTATACATCTACTACGTGGACACAGAGGCCATGCCGCACCTATGCTAGTTGTAAGAGGCCTGGGGAGCAGCTGCACCTTCTTTCTGTCCTCTTGGGGTATTCCTCCTTCAGACTGTGTAGCTGAAGAATGAGTGGGTACGTGAATAATGCAGTTTTCAACCCAAAGTACCGAGTATCCTTGTGGGCTAAAGGGAGGGAAAGGGCTCTTTATGATGACTTCAACTTGGGTTATTTCCATAGCCCAGAGCCTGGATGCTTCCATGAAGCCCTAGGCCATTGATTCTCTCATGCTTTTGAGAAAGAGAAGGAATTGTTCCTGCCACCAAACCAAAAAGCTTTATTTGGTGTTTGGTTTTTTTAAAATTATTCCTTTTGATGTGTATATGTACACTTACTAGGTGGAATGGGCTGAGCAATCTATGAGGAAATTTCACTTTGAATGTTACATTACGTAAAGATGCTCAGAACATGGACTGAGACCTTCATTAATTTTTCTGAATAGAATAAATAAAAATTATTTGAGACAACTACATAGGCACTTAAAAATTACAACTTTATCCACTCCAGAATACTGGCGTGGAATTTTACAGCATCAAATTTGTGTATAAAGGAAACCTTATGTAAGATAATGAAGCTCTTTGATGCAAAACTTAGTAGTTTTACCTTACTATCCCTACTGGTAGTGAATACTTGATAATTCCTAATGATACTCTCTTCATACCTTGGTAGCAATCTGTTCGTTCCACATCTGAAAACAGTTTGGTAATGTAATTTCTCTATAAAATGCTGCTACTAACCATATCTAAACTAATTAGGCACAGTCAGGAACAGCCTAAAAATGTAGCAGGCTTGCTGAATGAGCAGATTTGGAATTTGGCACTGTTCCTACTACATAACTTGATTGGGATGCTATTACCGATGCCTTCCTTTCTGGGCCACGAGAGCCAGATTTCTGTGTCTTTTCTGATCTTTTCTGCCCTAGAGCGGTACTGCAGGCAGAGGGGAACAGCCTGTGTGTAGCTGCCTTACTGGGACTCTTTCGCCTCTTCATCGCAGCTGGAGAAGGAGATATGTGTGGCAGGGGGAGCTGCAAGGGCGCAATGTGTGCTGACCAGTCCTGGCTACTAGATGTTTTTAGTGACCATTAACAGCAGAGCAAGTGAGAGCTTCCTCTGGGCTTTTCTTACAGTGCTGGGTGTGGAGCAGAGGCACGGCTTTTGCTGGCAAGATCTCCAGTTGGGGCCATCCTAAGACACATCCCATGCACTTTCTATTTCTAGGCTGATTTTTACTTAGTTCAACAAAAGCTCTTAAACCATCAGCTCCCGTGTTTTCTATTTGGAATTACTGTCCAAATTTTAGCAAATTTAGCAAATTTACCATATAACCTGGATATGTAGAGCATGATCCCAAGGAGTTAAATCCTCCAACTGAAGGAGATACCAAATGAATACTAGGCAATTAATATAATGGGATTAAATAAGAGAATACGGGAAAGTCCCTGCATAAAGTGACTATAGAAACAGGCCATGAAAAAATCCTGTCAGTACAGTAGAAACTGAAAAAAAATTGTCGTTTTGATTTTTGTAAGCTTTGTACCTACCGGCTTTTGTGGCTTCTGTATAATCACCCTCTGTAGCAGTGAGCTTTCCTGTGGTTTTAATAACAAGATACAACTCTGAAGGAATTCATAGTATGCAAATCTTCCATTTTTCTTTAAATCATATTTTTTTGTTATGTGGTTAATTTCCCCTTCAGTTAAATCCAAATTGAACTTCTCTGCTATATCTGAAATGCAAAGAAAGAATATTTATTTTGTCATTCTTAAAAATAGCCAATAGTTGTCCTGTGTTCACAGGTTTAGCAGGGATATGTTGACAGGTCATCAGCTGCAGTGACTGCTGCATAAGTGTGTTATGCAGTTCTTGCTATATACAGGTATATGCATATGCTTATGGGGTGGCAGTTCACATTCTACAGGGTTTCAGGGGACCGTTAACATGTAATTTTGATTTTAAATGCAGAAGTAGTAATGATTAAATCCTCCTTGACATTAACTGAGACAAAAGATCTGATAAGCTAACATGTTCTCGTAGCCAGGACTTTACATTTGATTATACAGATGCACACTGTCTTAGCACACATGCAAATGTCCTACCAAAGGCACAGAAAATTGTCTCTGTAGAAGAGAACACAACAGAAGAGCAGCATAGCCCAGGTCTTCTAAGAGTAAAGTCCAGGGTCCTTTCAAATCAGCAGGTGTTTAACCATCGAGACCAGTGCAACCAGAAGCACACACAAGGAAAAGACTGGTGCATCTGTTTATTCAAATATCCCCAGGCACAGAAAGGGTAGTGTATTGGGAAGGTGATGAGAAACTTGTGTACATGCCGTAAGTACCCACAAGCAAAGCCACGCACTCTTTTTCCGAGGAACAGCTAATTCTGAATAGGGACGTGAATGTATTGCACCCAAGGCTACTGTAAGCCATTCTGCTCTGCAATAGCAGGGTGGTACCTGGAGCAATCATGCAGTGGATGGCACTACTAGAGGCCAGATGTTCCTATGGCTGGGACACCAGAAGGAAAACAGAACACATCTGAGAATGAATAAAGCGGTTTTCAGATGGTAACAAACCTAGGAAGTCTGACACTGGGATTTCTCCTAGCTTGCTGACATCCTTCTCTTGGCACAGTTTCAGCATGCCTCTCCAGGAATGTTGGATGTTCTTTCTTATCTTATTTTCTATTGTTCCACAGTTAAGGATAGGTGCAGAACAAGTTGTTGTTGTCTGAGGACGACTGGATGCAGGTATCTAAAGGCAAGAGATAACAGTAATATTTTTTCTATTGAGTTTTACTTGTTGTGTAGACAAACCACCACTTGACAAATCCAGTTTCTGGTCTTTCAGACTTGAGGTTAATGTACTGTTTGAGCCACTTCTAAGTCTGATTTCAATTGTGTCTGCAAAACTGTAGGTAAAAATATGAGGACAGTGTCAAAATGATGCTATTCATTTAATGGGCCTTGACCACTTTTTCTTGATTTGGCTTAATTTTTAAACCATTTATAGTTTCTCCAAACTGTTTCTTATTACACAACAGATACTGTGTTCAAAAAAAGCTATGTAGTGCCATCTTAGAACAAACAAACCAACCAGTGCAAAGTCATTGAATTACAAAATAACATTGCTTTGTTTTATTACTGGGAGAACTCCTGGTCCTGTGCAGAGCCACAGAAGGAATAATGTGAGAGGATCCCAGTGCTCAGTGTCTTTTTGACTGCTGCCTCAGCAGTGCTGTGGGTGAGCTGGAAGCAAAACCTCAGCCTACCACTGTACGATACGTGCGCAAGTGGTATTTATGCTTCTAGATCCAAAGTATAATCTTATATTTAGTGAGACTTCCCAGTGCTCCCTTGAGGGTCTCACTGGTGCAGACCTGCTGAGGCCTCACACACGTTTCCATACAATTAATGCTGTAGGAACATTCATCCTGATCAGTGTTCAGGCTCGCTGGGGTCTTTCCAACAGCCATTAGTTTGGGGAGACTTAAGTTCCCTTCCTATCGTCTTATACTGCCCAGTCTAGCATTCACAGGCAGTAACGAGGAATTTTCCATTGCTTTCTCTGGGAACTGGATCAAAGCATGAAGGAAGGATGCATGGAGCTAATTGTCTGGGCTTTTCAAGAAAGAACCTATAGTTAACGCAACCAGCCCTGACAAGTTGTTTGCATCTTTAATTTGCTCAATCTGTTATTTCTTTTTCAGTAGCTAAACATCTCCATGTAGAAGTAGTCAGAAAATCCAAACATGTTCCAGGCACTGAGTGATTCTAAGTGTTTTATTTTTCTGTTGTAAGTTTGGTTGTAGCCAAAGAATGTGGAATAGGTAGGTGCAGCTCTGCAAGGGGGATATTTAATTTTTCTGCCTGTAATGATTTCCCCACCTTTCTGTGAATTCTAGCACTAAGGTAAGAGGCCAGCATGGCAGTGGAGAGGACCAAAGTGCATTATTGACATGAAGTACGGGTATGGATGCAAAAATGAAGCAAAACTACTGCATTCCTGATCCACTTCTCTTACCTCTCTCAGATCACTGGCCCTCATGGCAAGTCTATCAGTCAGACTATCAGGCATTAACAGCTGTAATTTGGCATCCACCAGAAAGCAGGCAAGACCACCAGAATGTTTTTGGACAGGCCAGCAGCAGCTATTGGAAAACTGCAACTGCCAGTCCTGCCTAGCTTTGTCAGATGACCACAGATAAGACTTCTATATTTTTTTATGCTGCTTTTGCAGCTATTGGACCTTTGTAATTTGGGCTGCTTACTTTGTTCTCAGAAATCTGATTGTGCTTAAGAACAGAAATTTTATTTGCTGCACAGCTCCGATCAATATGTGTACGGTAACAGCAGGGAATGCTATTGGTATAAATTGACATATATTGTTTGACTTTAGTGGAGTTACTATCTGGTCCAATTTTTGTCATTGTAACACAGTTTTGCAAATTACCTCGTTTGCTTATTGACAGGTGGTTGTGCCTGATTTCATGGGCAATCAATAGCAATACCTTCACTGAGTTCCACAAGTATTATTTTCAGCCTACGCACAGAAATGAAAATCCAGAAAATTCATAAAACAACCACACTTACACTCTTTTGCCCTACTAGAGGTGATGTCTTAGGACGTTCAGGCTGAGAAGACACACGTGGCTTCTGCACAGCATAGGTAGCTGCCTTGGTAGAGGTTGCAGAACTAGTTGCACTGGGAGTGGTTGATGACATTGCTGCAAGTTCTGAGCTGAACTTCTTCAAAAAGTCCTGATACTTCAACCATCCTCCAGCCCTGACATCCACTGTGTTCCAAAGATTTTCAAACTAATGAAGAAGCAAAAGATGACTTTTGTAAATGCTAGTTTTACAACAACAGAATCCCCTTATGTACTAAGGATATGGCAAAACATATCAAAAAGAAAGGGAGAGGATGCCTTGGACTAGAAGGAATCCTAGGGCCCATCTTATTAAAAAAAAAAAAAAAATCACAGCTTCTCTGCAGAAGCCTGCACAAGGCTGGGAAAACAATGAAAAAAGGATTTCTGCAGGACATTTTTTAATTGAATTGGGCCCTTAGTGTGCTGTTTAAAGTACTAAAACCTGTGATTAGACACAGTGATTGAGCTGCAGTATAGAAGAATAACGCTTTAACATGAGATGTAAATCAAATACATGGTGCACTTGTATCCTGGCTAAGTACCATTGAGGTGAATTTCTCATGCTATCAGGTGCACCTAAGTTATACTAGCATCTCAGGAGGCCATTAAGGTTCCTCAGTTATTGTATTTGCATCAACAAATTATTTCACCCCGAGGGCAAAAATGAATCAGCATGAAAGAACATAGCAGGAAACCTTTACAGCCTTTAGAATCACCTATAGTTAACAATGTATGGCCAGGAACTGTGGCTCTACAATACAGCCAGCCTACAGAAGACCTGGGTGCAGCTGCTGATACACTTGCTTCTGCTGCCAGTGGAGGCCCATGTGGCTGCTTGGCCCAACGCAGGGCAGGTAGCCCACCCTCTGGAATGGGGATGGAATCGTAAGGACGAGGCTGGGCTGACTTCCCGCTGAACAGCACTTTATTCAGTAAGTAGCTGCGCTGAATTAAATGGGACTATTCATGATATAAGCTACTAATCAAAGCAAAGATTATCACAGTGTGCCCTTAAATGAGCTGCACTCATTTTGCAAGTGTTTCAAGAGTCTTCAGTATGCCTTTTTAGGGTCTTCATTATTGATTTTTAATATCAGTCTAATTGGGAACCTCAGATTGCTTTTGATTTGATCTTTTTCGGCACAGACTTAAACCCTAAAGGAAACTAGTCACCTCTTTGATGCATGTGCCAAGTTGCAGTCAAACTTCAAAGGGCAAAGGATACATTTTGAATTTCCTTTCAACTTTCCCCCATTGGCCTGGCTGCTACCACATTATGAATTATAAACAATTCTATTTTGCGCTTGTGATTATACTTCACACTTCATACAAGGATCTCAAAGTGTATTACAAACTTCAATTAAATAGAACAATACCCTGATGAGCTGGGTTAGCTATAGTTAGAAACTATTTCAACACCCAGCGAAGTTTAGTCATTTGGGAGATGGCAGATAGTTCAAGTAAGTCAAGGGAGTTCAAGCAGAGAGGAGAAAAGCGCCTATGATAAAAAGGGGGATGTCAGTCGGCAAGATACTAATCAACACCTTGCTTGCAGCGTGTTTACCATCCTTAGCCTTTTATGAAAAAGGTCACAGCATCAGAAATTCAGAAGACCAAGAAGCCAAACTTCAGGAAGAAATTCTTCATCCACTACTCGATACAGATTCCAGCTGAGCCTTGCTAATAGCAAACAGTAAGTGGCCATCATCCAGAAAAGGATAAAAGAAGACATTTGCTGTGAAGTCATCCAGATTATGACTGTTAGTAACACTTCTGTAACAACTCTGAGCAGTGACAACAGCCTGAACAACAGGGGTTTGGATTAGCAGTGGCAAACCCTGTACCCAGATTGGAAGGCTTTCCTGGGGCAACTTCATATAGATATATATATAGGCATATTTTTGAGAGGCCTGTCAAAATCAAAATATCTCTGGAGATACACGGCTTGAGTCTCACTCAAAGAGGCTGCTGCTTATATAAATTAGGCTCCTCAGGCCTGCTTCTCGTTGCTATTATAGATGACAGTTTCTATCAGGATTTTTTTCTTCACTTGTCTGAGGTTCTTTTAAGTATAAAATAGCTCCTGCGTCCCTTCACTTCTTCTTTAGCGTAAAGTAGACAGGATCTAGTCTGGAGGACTCTTTGCTGGAGATGCTTGCCTTACTGCTTCCAAAAAAAAGAAAAAAACAAGAGATTTTTCACAGCTCAGGAAGGTGTGTGTTCTTGTGCCTTGGCCGGGGCTCAACCACAAGCTCACCCCGGTGCTTGTGCTCAGCAGTTCACAAGGATGAGGAAAGAGTATCACCACATATTCACTTTCGCTTTCACCTAGTGTTGAGGCTCCAGGTTCAGATCTGGCACTTGCACTTGGTACCTCACCAGAAGTGTGGCTACTAGGAATAGAGCACACAGGCTATTTGGTTTTTTTCTGCTATTTTCAAGGGGGAAGCAGAAATTTTTTTTTTTTTTCAGTGCTTTCACCTGCAACTTTACACATGCATAGCGGCACCTGATAACATGGCAGACTGTGCAGTATCTTTGCTGTAGTTACAAGCAGGCCCCACTCCTGTCTGCAATTTATAGTAAAAGATGTTGGTGGGAAGTACAGGGCCCAGAAATCAGAGGATATGTCTGAATGAGCAAAGTACCAAAATAATTTTCCATAGTGCAGACATGCATATGAGTTTGGAGGCTCTGTGTCTTGTCTTTCAGTTTGCTGCCAAATGGCATTGATGCAATCATGAGCATGAAGGTTAGAGTGCTGTTAAGTTAAATGTGACATCTTTTAGTCAAGGTTTCCCCTGTTTTATTGTTCACCTAGTATTTGAACTAAGAAAAATCACATTGAACCAGCATTATCAAAGATAAAAAATGGCTCTTCTCATTTTAAGTTCAGCAGAAGCAGAATCAGGTTCCTCAGAGATTAGCACTGGGCTAATCGGATGGTTTGTACTGCCAGATTCATGCCATGACTTCAGTCACAGACTAAATTCAAGGTTATATAAACTCTGCTGATGCTAATCTGGGGGAATCTTTAACCCAGAAAAGTAGCCGAGGGGTGGCCGGGAAATGTCAAATGCTTGCCCCTTTCTTTGTCCAAGGAGGGCAGGACAAAATAGTTGCTGAGAAAAAGGAATTTGCATTAGCTCCCCATGGAAGTACTTTTTATTCCATGCTGAGAAGGCTTTTTTGTCCATAAACTGGAAGTGGATTAGCTTAGAATTGAAAAAAGACACTTTTAAAATAGCAAATATACAGATAAAGAGAACTACTGTGCTTTAAATTCACACCTTCGCTATTAGCAATAGCATCTCTGTGACTTTGCTTTAGAAAGCCTGTGATTATTATAGTTCATAACCATACTCAGAGATAAGGAAATAAAAAAATCTCCCACAAATGTAGCAACAAATGTTCATGGAATGATAGTCTTAAAACATTTTCATTTCATCCAAATTTTTAAACTACTTGCCTGTACACAACAGTACGCAAACTCATGTCTCTAGCCAAAACCAATTTACCCAGTTGTACACTTAATTAACAAGACAAAATAATATAGTTTTCTTACTTGTTCTTCAGTCAGATGCTGAAAATGTCAGTTACATACATCCCGGAACTCCTCTTTTGATACTGTATTATCTTTTGAAGAGTCAGTATCTTTAAACCCTTGTGCAATTTTGTTAAAACCAGCAGTCACTACTTCTTGTATCTGTGAGAGGATGCCTCTCTCTGACAGCTCCCGAGAAGACTTAGGCGGAATGACTTTTTGCCCTTCCTCAGTCTAGACAAAAAACATACACAGAGAATCAGTAATGGATCCACTGAATAAATTATAAATCGCAGTGTGGCATTCAGCCAGTCGAAGAGGGAAACGTCCGTGGAGAAGGCGGCCTTCGAGATCCCGCAGGCAGTAAAGCCTGCTTCCAGGAATTCTGGCTTGCACCACAAAAGAGAAAAGGGGCTATGCAAGTAGTTAAGGGAAAAATAGACTCTCTATAAATGGGATCCAACTGGTGACAGGCCAACAAAAGCACAGGACTCCAAGACTGACCTAAACTTTTACAAAGGTCTAAAAAATCGGGTGATCTTACAAAGAGGGCTATTCTGTTAATGCAGAAAAAAGGGAAGTGAGTGCTAACTAGCCCAAATATCCCAAACGTATTCTTCTCATCTGAATAGTCTTTAGCATGCAGTGGAAATCTCTTTGAGTGAAAAGGCACTTCAGTCCTGAGATGAAAGAGAGGGCAATTATTTCCCCTTCCTTTCTAAGTCCCAGGTATATTTACGGCGGTACTTTTTAATCTGGTCATCCACAGTAGGGATACTGCAGCTAAATGATGCAGTTGAAGGCTGCAAAAGTACAGAATGTGTTAGGGGAAAGCAGAGAAGGGGTTGGGTATGAGTGTGCTAATGCTAGTACAAGATGTGCACAACCCCTTTTTTTCAGTGTGTTGCTTTCAAATCTAACACTGGTGTATGGCTTTTAAAACCTACCACTGGAGCTTATTGCTAACTAAACCCCCATTATGCATTCTGCAGGGTGGAAATACACACTTTGGGTAAATACAGTAGAAGGTCATATGGCAAGCAGAAATAGAAAGGACAAAATACAGTTGGTTGGAATAAACTGCAGAGTAAAGCACTGGGCTTTGGTACGGACATATCTGAGAATACCAAAAGTCTAACTGTGCATGCAAAAGGCTACATTTCATAAAGTTAAATATCAATGAAATCTATTCAACATTTACATTCTACTTCCAGAATTAGCAGTAAACTCCAGTTTTTAGTATGAAACCAAGTTTTACTTATAAAAGTAGTCTCAGGAATGGCACAGCATGGAATAAAAATAATAATAATAAAAAGCAGTATCAGAATTTTGAAGAAGAAACTACTTATTTTCAGGAATGGAAGCTGACTTTCCACCCACTGTACTGTCTAAACTAAATATGTAAAATATCTTATAAGCAAAATTTTCACAAACACAAGTGGCAGCCAGTTTTACTATAGCTGTGGTAACAGGTCCTAGTAAAAACAAAACAAAACAAAATTTGGTTTTGGTTCAAAGACATTTCTTTACAGCATGTTAAATGTTACTATCATATTCTATACCCCAGTGTTGAAGCATGCCACCTTCTTGCTCCATGCAATATGAAATACCAAAAAAGAAACAGATGGCTTTTGGTCCTGCACTCCTGTTTCCTTGTCACATCTCACATGATCATTATAACTGGATGGAAAGGAAAATATGTTTCTTACAGAACTGCAAGAACCCTGCCTCCTAATCAGAAAAGACTCCACTATCTTCAGATGCAAATAACACTTTTCAATATTAACCATGCTTTACATAAAACATACGTGTGGGACAGACATTATGACTGCATTATTATTAAGAGAAGAAATACAAGAAGTGGAATTGTGCATGCAGACGCAGAAGCCGGTTTGTGCCGTAGTCAGGAAATGAAGATTGCCGGGTATGGTCCGGCACTGGGCGCACCTTCTGCCTGCCTGACATTACTGCAACTAAAAAACACTGCGCCCCTGCTTTTAATTATTGTAATGAATCCAAAGACTTAGGGAAAGCGTTACTGCCCTGCAACCTTTTAAAGAAACATATTTTGTAAGTGTAAGCTTTCCTGATATATTTAATTTCAAGAGCTTTTTGTTTATTTCTTAAGACCTAATGCACTTAGATCTTAAAATGGTTAGAGAGCCAATAAAAAAAAAGAAATCATTTGCTCTTCTTGCAAACTACAGATTGAAAACTAGAAAACCTTTTCTGTTCAGTTATTGCGTTACATTCGTCTACCACATGCAGTTAGTACATTCTGTGTGTATCTATGACTCTATCATCTGCTGCTAAAATACTCTCCTTTAGCTGAAATAACGGAGCTGGAGCCTAAAATCTCAGACTCTGGCCTGGGCATCTGGACATTTAAGTGCCATTTCTCCATTTGAAATTAACGTTATACACAGTGCGGATACATTTCTTAGATTTGCTGTGTCTCCCTTTGACCTCGAAAGGGAGCAACAGGAACAACGTTCTCTCAGAGCAGTGCAGCCTATGTCCTAGCAGTGCTTGCAGACCAATTGTAGAAGAGCTTCTGTTGGATGAAAAAGGGATTACTTCTCTTCTAGTGATTTCCTGATATTCGCTGCCATGTGCTCCGCTCATCCCATCAAGCTCTGTACATATAGCACTTCAGAATTCAGGGGCCAGGACTCTGCAGCCTGCTCCTGCTCCGTAGCTTCTCAGACTACCGCATGGCCTCTGAGCAGTACCTGTCTCACACCATGGCCAAATGCTAGCTGCTCCTGTAAGCTGTGAAGTCCGGATTACCTGACTGTCCTGCTCAGCTCTTCAGAGGCTTTCTCACCCTTCCTAACAGCATTTGAGAGTGCCTTGGGAGGACCACGTAAATCCACTTTCACCTCTTGCTTTCACCAAGAGAGGGGAGGTATTATTATGAGGCTTTTCTTATGGGCCACCCTATATAGCTCACTTGCTGTTCAAAGCAGGGGTGTATTTTTCTTCTTTAGAAAGTTCCTTGCACAGCCTCATGTCCTTTTCTATAAATGGCATAACTATGCTGATTAGTAATAAAAGAAGGATCTGCCACCCACACCTGCTCAGTGAAGCTCCATTCCTGCAGCTCCTTCCTGTTTCTGGAAGATTTTTCTATTAAGAGGAATTCTTAATTAGAAAGTAAATTGGTACATCAAGATAAATTCCAATTCTTCTGGTCCTGTTTCCTGCCCTGTCACAGTCTGACCTCCCTCCCTTTCTGGGGAGGCTCAGAAAGCAAAGGTCTTGGGAAACAGCTTACACAAGAAGGCCCTTATATCTTCCCCTGAAAAAGGATGGATTTTCCTCTTTGTACATAAGAATGACCTCTGCCAGAAGTAATCATCCTTTTGACAGTTTACGCAGTTTTAGAGGCTTCTGTGCTTAGCCCATGGGCCCTCCTTTAGCCTAACAACATGTATCTTCAAGTTGTTTTGCATACCTGCTCTTCCCTAAAGATGTGTGGAAGCAGCAGAGTTAGTTGCCGGAGCATGGACTGGGGTGGAAATGCATTTTCTTCTCATGTTCAGATAACCAGTAATTCACCAGCCAGCCTGTTCTAGCTCTCAGAGTCTCAGCACTGTAGAGAAGCTTGTATTTTATCCCTGGGTTACAAGTAGAGCTGTATCCTCATCTGGCACCGATCAGTCTAGCTCCATTAACCCGAGTGCTGATTTACGCCTGCTGAGGATTTGATAGCTGGTGTGCAACAAGAGCTTGCAATAATAAACCCAATTATAAATAAAAGATGAAAACTCCATTGACGGTCATTCTGTAACGTACCATTTTCCTTTTGACCAAGTGTTTGCAATGGACAGATTCAAGTTTTGAGGTCACATTTGCAGGATGAAATACTCTTGGTAGTGTTTAGAATATGTAATGCTAGATGGGGTTTGACAAAATGATTTGACACAATGAATCAAAGGTGGTCCACGTGCCAATCCCTGCCTTGTCCAGAAAAAAGCTACATTCCTCTAAATGTAATTAGAATAACTATTGTATTAAATAACTATGAAATATTAAGCCTAGGTAGAACTGGGTAAAGGAGCAGGAGCCACAGTGAGGCTTCCCTGCTCCTCTGTCTCCTCAGCAGTGCCTAGCCCATCAGCAGTACGCCTGATGGTCTAACACTATGTTCCCTGCTTTCTCCTTTTCCTCTACTCTTAGTAAATACAGAGTGAAAGGCTTCCATCCCAAAGAACAAGCTGACATTTTAAAATTCCCTTAGACCCTTTTCTTCATTTCTCAGAACAGAGAAGGAAAAGGCAGTACAGCTTTGGCAGGCTTGTCAATGGGGAAAGATCCCAAACCAGATATCCCGGCACAATGAGGGATAGCCCACTGTAGTCATTGGGAGAGCACTGCACAGGACAGCAGGGGCAAGGAAGGGGAATTTTCAAACCAGTTTTGCTATGGATAAAGAGAAACATGGAGTTAGATCATGGCATAAGGAAAGCTTTAACGTTTCTCAGCCTGAAGCAGATGTAATACTGGAAGATAGATGCAAACATGCAGGTATCCCAGAAGGATTATTTCCCTGGAGCACAGCTGTTCTACATGAGGACAGGCAAAGTTTGTGGCGCTGCTGACTGATGGTAGGGACATAATCAGCAGGCCTGCTAATCTCTGCTGCTGGTACAACGGGTCATGACTGATGACAGTCAGTTGCCTGATCAAATCAGTGGCCCAGAACAGGAGGACCCAGAGGTTCAACAGATGAGGACAGTGAGTAATGAATAAACCTGTAAAACTCCCAGCCCCAAGCCAGGGAAAAGCACCACCTCTGTAGAGCAGGTCCTTACGTATTCCTGCTGCACTTTACAGGTAGATCATGGCAGCAAAATGAACTTCAGCTCCTCATGCCTGAACACAGTACACAAGGGCTGGTTTTGTAACACTGCAGAATTTAGGAAGCAAGGTTGTGGAAAGACTGAGGATGTCAGTTCTCTGTTGTGTGGGTTTTTTGAGCTCTGAAATTATATGGTTACAACAGATAGACTGTAGAGTTACACTGTGTGCATTTTATTACTTGTGGGCAAATCACTGTTTGGGGCGTCACAGCACAGCCACCCTCCATTCATGGAGCTGGTAAGCTGTGTCAGTGCTGTCCCCTCTGTTGATTTAGAAATAGTTTCCAAGATCACAAGAAAGCTGTTTTGTTTGTGTATTACAGGAAGGGGTTGTAAGAGCCACTGCTGAGAGCAGTGTGATGTGAGAGCAAGTGGCTTTAGCTCTACAGACTTTCTACCAGCAACATGCCCAACAAAGATGGAGACAGTGAAAATGTACCAATGCTTTTCACTGGTGAATAGCAGAAACTAGTCCTGGACCTCAGTCCTGGGACCTGGAGGTACAGTTCTCACAGTATGCTTCAAGAACAGATGTGAACTTGCTATACTGGGGGAAATCTTCTCATGGGTACTGGTCCAAGGAGAAGCAGGATGCTCTTTCTGTCAGGAAGAGCATCAAATATGAACAGACAAACCTGCAGTTTTGCAGGCAGGTTCATTAGATGGAACTGGCTGAAAACAAAATGCACGCAGCTGGTGAAGAAGACACTCTGCAGCATGAGACAGACTGCAGAGAAATTCAGAACAGGAAGCTAAATACAGAAAAAAAAAAAAATTGAGAATTTAGTGTGGAAACAGAAAGTTCAGGATGAAGCTAAATCAAATGCCTGATTTGATATTGAAATGTTCTGCAAATAATTCCTGGAAGTCAGTCTGATTTCCAAATTTCATAATTTTAGATTAAATCACATTTTTAAAAAAAAAAAAAAAAAGCTTTCCTGAGTATGTTTCTACTCACTCCAGTAATTCCCTTTGCCAGCTGAAAGACACACGTGTTAGCAAACCCCTTGTTATCTCAGTTCCTGCCCTTGTACGGGCACAAGCAATGATCTGTCCCTTCTCTTGGTCATCTCCTCAACCTGACCTGCTCTCTTTCTACTCACTGCTGGACTTGACAGGTGAAGGTTTACTGAGCTTGCAGCAAATCACTCGGCACTCTCAGCTCCAGAAAGGCTAAACAACAAATTGTTTGGCCCTGATCATAATCCCTCCTTTCTCCACATACTCCCCACTATAGTGTAGTTGTTCTGATCCTCTATGGAAACCTTGCTGTTCTAGACCTGGCCAGCACGCCCTGAACTATCGCTTTCAACACATTCTTTACTTTTTTCCCCTTCCACATCTGAAATAGCTCACAGTGGGGAAGGATATGCAAGTGTCTTTTCTTTTTTGCGGGGTGGGGTGGGTGGGTGCTGATTCCCAAGTGCAGCTTTCATTAGGCTGGACTGCATTAGCCAATTTAATGCAGAATTGCTCCACTCAGGCCTTATTAATCACAAGACTGGCAGGTCAGTCAAGAAAGGTTCATGATGCATATTCCCAGCTCCAGGGTCTGGACTTTTACAAATATCCTCAGAGAGTCCACTGGTGGTTAATAGCATCCCACCTAAGACAATGTCCTCTCTGTCTCCTTCCTCAGCTTTTCTGCAGTTGGTTAGCAACATCCACACTAAGTGCCGTAACCTTGGTTCTTTCTTATCTGAATGTTAAGATACAGTCATAGCGCTTAAAATACTTTTTGTATTTAAAATTCTATTTTTGTATAGTATAGCCCTACAGCTCCACAGAGCTGTATTTCAGTGGGCATCCTGCTCATATACAGCTGCTGTAGTGTGTATTCTAGAGAGTTAATCAGAATGTAAAGCTCATCAACATATGTCAAAGCCATCAAAAGATCCACGTGACGCATAGAACGTTTAGAAATACTTTCCACAAGATTTTTTTCATCTCCCCTTGTTCAGCTGTTTTCTAAGGAAAAAATACAACTTAAACCTATATGGCTTTTGGGTTTGTGAATGTTTGCCTTTGTGGTTGTGGGGTTTATTTATGAGGTGCCATTTGAGACAAAAGTCATCCCAGGCTCATACTTCACTAGTTCAGTAAATTTTCCATACTTTAATGATCAAGCTGCATACTTTACTTGTTACTTTTTAATATACTTCAGTGATCACATTGTATAGCGTAATGATCAGTTTTCCTAACGTGCCTGAATGAGTTGCATACCTCATTAATTTAGATACATACTTTACAGGCCAAAACTGTAGCATGTTTGGATGAAGTGAGTAATTTAACAAACAGCCTTCTCTCAGAACCTGCACAGGAGCCCAGGAATACGTGTGAACTGAGGGTGGGATCAAATTGCAAAGGCGTGGGAAATTTTGGGTTGAACCCAAAATGAAAACATGAGATTTGAGAGCATCTGGAAGCTGAACCAGCACTGTGAACCTGGTTCATATTTGTTTTGTCTTTTCAAAAATGTTCCCTTGTGCATTAATTTGAGATTTTAATGACGGATTTATCCCTTCTGCCCCTAACACAGCACAGAAAACTGTTCAAGGTGAATGCTTGGTATTGAAAAAAGCAGTACAGGCTCCAGTCCCGTCATGGACCGAGTACCTCCTGAAAGATGTGGAGGTAGCTTACTTTTTTGCTAAGCTGAAGTAGAAAGTATTCAGGGTCTTGAAGGACTGACTGTTAAAGAGACTTCATGTTAAAATGTACACTCTCGCAGAGTTTGATCCCAGGAATTGTGCAGCTTGTCAAGTTGTTAAGGAGGCTTATCACCTACTTTGAGGATGAGAAGACATTACAGCAAAACCTTCCCTAACAAAAGCAGCTACCTATTCTAAAGTTAACGCGAAAGCTTGCTGGCAGGTCAATATTACAGCACACAAATACATTCTTAAAATAATTCTATAGCTATGTTATATTTCATAAAATTGGTCTTTGTGCTGGTATGACTCAGTTGAAACTTATTGAATTTATATCAGCATAAAAGCAGGAAAGAGGGAAATGCAGCATTTTCTAACCTATACAAAGTATTCCACTGTTTTACACTTGAGAACCATGTAATCTATTATATCTGTTAAGATTGCACTTTAATTTTAACAAGCTGAAAATATAAATATTTAAAAATCCCCAACTATTTTTTAAATAACTATAATTAAATGTAGTCCTGCCACTAAGGACAAAGTAACAGTTACACTACTATAAATATTAATGCTAAATTTACAGAGAATGAAATACATTTAAGCAACCTTATAAAATTTTAAATAAAGCTACACTTATAAGCACTTTGGTAAAGCTATGCCTATTGGTAACTGACACGCATAGATAAAGTCTCTAACCCTCTACAAAAGCCTGTAACACATTACAAGTGTTTGGAGCTGTTTATGGGTCCTCCTTCATTTGAAACCTCTGGTCCCTCCTCCTCCTCCTCTCATGATTTACTCAAGCCCTGCGATTGTTTGAAGCCTGGCAGACTTTGACTTGGGATATGAAGAGGCTGAGACATATCTCACTGGTTTTCCAGCTTCTACTTTATGACACTAGATTTAATCACCATATAGTTCTATACGGATTTGTTTAGCACAACATTCTATTATCGCCATGGCAATAAAGTGGTAGGCTTTTTATATGCTTTTCCATTGGGTGATGATTATTATTTTTCTCATTTTATTTGTGCTTCAAGCATATACTTTTGAAAATGAAACATAGTTACTTCTTGGAATATAAGATGCAAGTTAATACCGATTTTTTTTTTTTTAGAACTGCTTTTTATGCAGCTAGTAACCAGCTTTCACATCCTTAGCCAAGTTCATAAATGAGTGTAAGGTAACGTCATTTGGACTCCTGCACCCTCAGATCTACTTATACCAGCTTCCCACTGGGTAAGGCAGACTAAGAAGGGAGAAGCCAGAGGAAAGGGAAGGACTGTGAAATTAACACAGGACAGAGACTTCTTTCACTTACACCTTTTGATAATGTTCCCGCTATTTACAAACACGGTAAGGATTGATTCACTGATAAAAGGATGTGATTATGAACTGAAGGATCTGTTCCTGCAGTCTGCACCAAGTGAACGACTCCAAGTGAGGCACTGTGGACACAAACCTCTGCCATGGAGAAACAGCAACTCTAGTTTTATTTGAGTTGTTGCAACATACATATTCAGAGCATCAGAAGACTCTGTCCATGACTGCAGTCAAGATTTTCTCCATTCTTGACTAATCTCTGTGTTTGACCTTCCTGCTATAGCTACACTGCTATTACAGTTTGGCACCAAGAACCTGGTGGGCTTCCCACTCCACCCGCTTTTCTGTCTGGCCCCTGCCAGTACATCTAGACAGGTCAGGGATCATCAGGCATATTTGGATATCCCACATCCTACGTTGCCCCATTGGGGCAATCTGGCTGTACCTGTGGTCATGCTTTCAGCTTGCCACATGTACAGACCTAAATCTACATGAGTGCAAGACCTAACTTCTGAGAGCAGTTTGTAAGGAGGCAAGGGCTTCAATGGAGTTCAGCTGAGATCAACAGAAAGATATGTGAATTTTGCACGCTTAGTTAGATAGTCAGTCAGTCACTTCTAACCCATCAGATCATATCTTTTAAAGAAATATATTATAGCTTGGTAGCTCTTCTTACCTCTCTGAGGTGCTTTATGTTTTTCAGGAAAACTTTCCAGTCTACTGTGAAGTCCTCACAAAGGTTAAGGCTCTTGAGAAGGTGCCTGAACTGCTTGTCTGATAATTTAAATCAGAAATGGTCAAGCACTTACTGAAATTCCAGTGCTTTAATTACTCCAGTGTCGTCTTTATCAAATAAAGAAAATGCCTGAGAAGCAAGAATTCAAATGACTTAAGCAAACCTAGACATTCTAAAAAAGAAGTCATTTATTTAGCAGTTCACATGGAAATACCCGAGACCCATATGCCTTTTACTTGCAGGTATTTTATACATGAAGAAACAAAACATGTTTCTCAGAACCTTACTTAGTTTGAAGCTTTCCTTTCTTTTAAAAATGAGATGCAATTGTTGAAATAAGCCAAAAATAGCCTGTATTTCTGTACCACACGTAAATATAAATACGGAAATAAAAAACAACCTGCAGTGAAAGCAAAAAGGCATTATATCAAGTATCCAAACATTCCAGAAAAGGTAGTCATTAAGACAAGAGAGGAAACAAACAAAAATATTTAAGGGCTGCCTTAAATAATTTTAATTAAAATATTTTAAATTAAACTCACCTGACCATATGTAATTTGCCTTTTGTTCCCCCTCCCTGCACCCCCAATGACTGTCCCTTTTTCCCTGGGGGCAAGATTGTTTTCTGCTCCCTAAAGGACTCGACAGTCCTTCATCCTCATTAGCTCCAGCTCATCTAGAAGGCTTACTTGCTCTCTTCTCATCCTCCCTTGCACAAAATGCCCAGCCTGTTCTTCATGGGATTTTTCCAAATGTTTCCCAGGGGAAACAGATTAGATTTAGCACAGTTGCAGCAGAAGGCATGCAAGAGTAGTCCAAATGAGTGGCAGAAATACCAAGGTCTAGAAAAGTTGTGGGCCATATCTCTCTCATTCTGCCTGGCTGATACTAACTTACCATGCCCCATGTTTTATTCTGCCCCTTATTTATGATGCTGCACATATAAATCACCAATTCCATAAACGTAAATGAATATTACACCTTTCAAAACTTCACGTTAAAGTCCTATTAGTCTGCTAGCACTACAGCATATTGGCACAATACAACTATTTTTATGTTTTAGCATTAGAACTGTTCTAAATAATGGGTTTAAAAATGTATATTTTAATGTACATGAACCATGCCTACTGGCAAAACAAATGCTACCATATCCAAAGGACATGGGAAAGGAATCCTTTGATCACTGAAGAGGATTCTGTAACTTCTTAATATAAAAGTTTCATCTTTGCTTACGTACTGGAAGTCTTAAGGGAAAACAAAAGCATTGAGTATTATAGTATGCATTGTACCAAGTATGGTGAAAATGAATGAAATGATTATACTGACAGAGAGGACCCACCTGAACTCTTAAACTATTTGTTATGAAACTTCAAAGGTCTGTCTTCAGTTGCAGAGATGTTGTGGATGGGATGTGATTTTTTTTTTTTTTAAACTAGCTGGACTCTAGGAACTGTGCTTTCAGATCTTTCTGACAAAATATTTTGTTATAAGCTTATGTTGTCAGAGTCACCCATCACATAGGTGGCAGCAACTATTACTCAAAAAATGGGTCACAAGAAAATTGAGAACCTCCTTATTTTCTCATGTAAGGGAAATGAGAAAAAGTTCTGCTTTTCCATAGCATGATGGACAAAGTCTTGCTCTTCATTGAGAAAATTCCTTGGTCCCTGAAGTTATATAACCACCAAATGGTATCCTAAAAGACTAAATGGATGATTTGTTCATGCCAAAAGTAATTTTCAAATCATACCTTCAGCAGACAAAACTGTGACCTTCTCTATTCCCAAGACACACAGGGATAAGAGGACAGATATTGTCTTCTACTAAAATTTAACAGACACGAACCTGTGCTATTGAATTTATCCATTTCTTATTTCAATATGCAGAGCACAGGAAGGATTTTTTTCCCCTTACTATGAAAAATGTAAAGTGATTATATAAATATTTCAGTATCCTCTCCAACAGTTAAGACTAATCTGGCGAAAAATGGCAACAGGGGCCAAATAAGTTTGCAAAAGCTACAGGAGTCTCCAAATAGTGTGAAAATAGATTTCTGTAAAGAAACAGCATCTCCCATGGTACTACTTTTTTTTTGGGTACCTGTACCAGTGACATCACTAGCGAAGTCTTTGTTGGAAGCCTGTGTTATTTAACTGCAGGACAGAGTCCAGAGATTGAGATTTCAGAAATGCAGCCATTGATGACAGGGAATTTCTACCCCCATCGTCTTCCCAGTTGCTGTTCCCCTGCCTTGTGTGGGCAGCAGCTCTCCCATGGCCACGCACAACTGCTCAGGCTTTTATCAGGTTGCAGTTCCCTGACCCGGGTTATTAGGCAGGAAAAGAAGTACAAAAGTCTTGGTTTTGACACAAGGCAGGTGGGAGGACCACATTGCTGGGGATTCTGGGGTAGCGAGACCATCACAGAATCATAGAATCATTTAGGGTGGAAAAGACCTTTAAGATCATCCAGTCCAACCATTAACCTAACATTACCAAGTCCATTACTAAACCAGTTAAGGGTAGAGTAGCAATTTTGTGTTTCCTGGCTTGGTGGCTGGATTATTTTTAATGAAAGTAAAAACTAGGAATCATTAAGATTGGAAAGGACCTGTAAGATCATCAGTCCAACCATCAACCCCACACCACCATGCCTACTAAACCATGTCCCAGAGTGCCACGTCTACCCATTTTTTAAACACTTCCAGGGATGGTGACTCCACCACCTCTCTGGGCAGCCTGTTCCAATGCTTGACTACCCTTTCTGTGACGAAATTTTTCCTCATATCCAGTCTAAACCTCCCCTGATGCAGCTTGAGACCATTTCCTCTCGTCCTATTGCTAACTACTTGGGAGACGAGACCAACACCCACCTCACTACAACCTCCTTTCAGGTAGTTGTAGAGAGCAATAAGGTCTCCCCTCAGCCTCCTCTTCTCCAGGCTAAACAACCCCAGTTCCCTCAGCCGCTGCTCATAAGGCCTGTGCTCCAGACCCTTCACCAGCTTTGTTGCCGTTCTCTGGACATCTTTGCAGGCATAAGCCTGCCTCTAAAGCCATGAGCTTAAACTGGACCTGAAACTTCAGGTGCATGAGATGGCTCTATGGTTCTCTGTGATAGGAATGCTTCTTTGAAGGTCTTTTCGATTATTCTTTCCCATGCTTGGAAACAATCTTACTGTGGCATCGAGAATTATTGAGTCTAGAGGCTGCTGCATTTCAGTAGACTCCAACACAACAGGCTAAGACTGCTTAATATACAGCATTTTTTCATTCAGGCCTTTCAAAATTCTAGAGAGAAGTGGTTATTTTTATTCTTCTCATTTTACAGGTGGGAAAACCAGGAAACTTGCTGCTAACAATTAATGCACCTTATCTGTCTGTGTCAGAGTCAGAAGTGGCCAAGAGCATAAATGCAGATAGGTGCAGAGCCCCAGCTGACAGGTGCTAACTTCTGCAGCCACTATAATTTGCTCACATTTGATCGTATGTCTGTATCCTCAGTTGCTACATGATCCTTTCATCTCATGCTGATAAAACCATAATGGCTACCTGCAGTAGCACATTATACCTACACATAATAAGTCTCAGCTTAGGAAACTCAACAGAGCTATTTGAAAGACATGATATTTACACGCTTGGGACACAATTTACAGACAAGTGGAAGAGGAAAAGGGGTTTGGGGAAGAGAAGAAGGGTCCTGATAATTTGCTATTCACTTTTGCCTTTCCAATCCTTATCTTCACAAAACCTCTAGGCTTGATTTGATATGCTCGTTTTGTGGAGTTACCAGAATACAATCAAAAAGTCTGCAGTTGTCAGAAGATGCTATTTCTACATAGGCCAAGGTTGTTGGCAGCACTCAATTAATAGCAGAAAAGTTTTGAAGCCTTTGGGTTAGTCCCCAGCCAGGCGGAAAAAAATAGAGATTAAATAAGATGTGGTGACCATATGAAATTTACCTTGTACAACAAATGATAAAGTGATGCAACTATTTCTTTTATCTTAATTAGAGTCTGTTCTAAGCTGAGTGCTACAAAGCTTGCAGGTGGTGCAGCCTGCTTTTGTCTCTGTTGGATTTTAGATGCTCTGCCATCATCAGTTGCTCTCAGAAAATCAAAATAAGAGAGCTTGCTGTCATGAATGCTGATTCCTAAGCTAAGGGAAAAACACAGAATGAGATATCAATGATTTTAAATAATTGTCTGACTGTTGTCTGTACTGATCAATTATTATGATGTATTATTTGTACTGCAGCACACTTCAGGACATGCTTGTGCTGTCAGTGTATAAATCCTGTTAGTTTCAGCCCAAGCTCCTTCTCAGGTCTAAGCCACCAATCCGATCTATTAGAAGCAACCACACTCTCAGATGCAGATCCAGGCCAATCTCAAGATGCTCAAGAGGAGATCTGCTTTAGCCTGGGCCCAACTGCACAACCTTCCACTCCATCAGCATTAATTTTGTGCTTTTTAAGCACAGCACAGTATTTTGATCACAACATACTGCTGAGCTCACCATCCTCAATGTGGCCGGAGGACACGTAGGCTCCCAACCTTGTCCTTGAATCTCTTTTTCATGTCACAGCGTAAACACAGTCTAATAGACTCTGTTGAGGAGTAGATGTTCCTTGTGCTAAGTGCTGGTACTTTCCCTTGACTTTCTGCTTTATAAAAATACCTTTGACTTGCAGATGCTGAAGTGCTGCTTAAGCCTCCCAATATGTTGTGATCATTACAATTGTGAGAGAAACAAGCAGAACCACATAGAGCCTGGTAAGCTGTTACCAGACACAAGCTAGGACATCCAGTACCACTCCACAATACGTTTCATGGATGTGCCAGTACAGGTCTATACTCACTCACAATTTCTCTACCACATGGGAGGAAACCAAACCAGGTTCCATACAATGCTTCTCTTTATGTTTGCGATAGAAGGGCTTACCTTCCCTCTCAACCTGTACTTCACCCTGTGTTGGTTTGGCAGGCCACTAGAGAACTATTTAATAGTTGGACTGGATGATCTTAAAGCTCTTTTCCAACCTAAACGATTCTATTTTACAGGTTCTTGGCAGGACTCAGCCTCGCTGTGTCTCAGGCACTGGCCCTCCCTCCTTGGGTGCGTCCACTGAGCCGCACAGCGGGCTGGCACATTTGGCCCAGCAGCTGCTGCCGTTGACTTGTGGCATGCAGTGTTCAGTGAGGGTTTCTCTTCTGATCACTTGCGGTCAGGCTGTACCTGGGAGCCCAGCCCACGGGCTCTGCAGGCTGCACTCACAACTTGCTGAATTTCTGTCTGTCAGCTGAAACATCTGCTGGATCACAGACACTGGGGAATTTCATGTTCTGTCACATCGGAAATTCAGTGGGTTACAGAGCTGACTATAGATAGCTCCAGGTAACAACAGTGAATATATTTTTGCATCAAATATCAGCATGGGGAAAGACAAGCTCTTGCATATGATTTGGGGAAATTCTTTTTGCAGAGAACTTTGGTAGCAAACTAAATTAATTTTTATTCAAAGATGTTTTACCATAAAAAGACTAGAATTAAGGCAAGCTTCACATATGCAGAAAATATGTGCAAATAAAACTTATTTAGCATGAAAGACTAGATGAGCAGCACTATTACATGAAAAGCTACTTTCCTCCAATGTCCTGTGACTTGTGACCACTTAATGAAAAGACACCTGGTATATTTTAAACAAGGACTTCAAACCTGTCTAATGAGCCTGTAGAGTTCATCACCACAAGGGATATAATGGCAGGGGCTTGCTCTGCTCTCACTTACCCAGTATAAAGCCAGTGCAGCCAGTTTATGGAATTTCCTACCACTGAAAGATAATCAGAGAGTCTCCAGACTACAGTATACCTTGGGTGTTTTTGATACAGGTCCATTGGCTCCCATGAAATTATTCCAGATTGACCTTACAGTTACCATCTATGGAGATGTTTTTAATAGACTTTAATAATTTTATAGCCAATTATCAGAACTATAGATTCTTTACACATATGTATTAGACAATTCCTATGCTGCAGGGGAAAGGCTGGACATCTTTCAGTCTTGCATTCAGCTTTTTTGTTAGAGTTATGGTCAAGGCAAGTCCTAGAGAGGCAAGACTTGACAGAGGAGATGGCCCCACTACGCAGCCCTGATTTTCCTGTTTAAAGCTGAATTACTGTAATGAACTTTTATCATCTGTTTCCACAGTAAATCACTGGGGACCAATGCCTCAGCTACCAATCACCAGAATATCCAGTTACAAGAATGTCTAATTAATGGGGAGAGCCAGTAAAACAAAGAGGAAGCTTTATAAAACGGGCTGGAAAAGAAATTAACTATAGACCCCATATCTGCTAGTAAGAAAAAAAAATGTTCAAGAGCCCTGATTTTGCATCTTGCAGCTGCACAGCACTCCCACATACTACCCGTGTCAAGCTGGCTCCAATATTGGAGACAGTGTGTGGAAAAGGAAATAATCAACACCATTTCAGAGGAGAAATAAATTGCCAAGTGGGCATTAAAATTTTAGTAATAAAACTAAATGCATATGCTAATCTACTCTGTATTATTTAGAAAAGACTATTTTGGATCAAGAAAGGAATAATCTGCACAAAATTACAATGAATGGAGGTGTTTATCATCAAGAGGTCTTTGAGAAAGAAACAAGCAGCAGATTCCTATTAAGGTTTCAATTCATAAAAAGTTGATCACCCAATTAAAGGTGAACTGTGAAAAGACTTTGTTAATTTTATTTCAAAAACGAGTCTGATCTAGCAGGCTCTGGAGAACAAAACCCAGTGCTGCCAGGCATATGACCTTTGGGGGACTGTTTGGTGCAGAGAACCCCAGCTACCTAATGTTGGAGCAGGTCCTTTGTGTTCTTCAGCATATAGAAAAGAGATTTTTCTTCTTACTCATATTAACACAGAGAATTAAAAGCATAGTTTTACATGGCAGCAGCATTGGATCATTTGAAAAGTATTGCTATTTTATAACCTGATTTAATTCTCTTTCTATTTTGAACAGGATCTGTTTCACACACTTGCTCTATTAAATTGATATTACATAAATAAAACAAACTAGCAAACAAAGACACATACTCAAAGCATACTTTTATATGTAAGAAGCCATTTCACTCTCATTACCTGCAGAATCAATACATTACCTAAAAAGATTTTTCACTTATATGCAGTTTTAAGCATGTGGGTATCTCCATTAGTTTTAACAGAGCTTCTTATATGCTTAACACTAAGTAGAAGTTTACAGGCTTTGCTGGGTGTGACCAAATTGGTGCTTAGGAGATAATCATACAAACCTGTTTAGAAGACTACTGAACTGATCATGATGAAGGTAATAGTTGAACTCTTGTCGTATCCTGTGCAGGTCATATACAGTTATGTAGCCATCTCTATTTTTATCCACTTTATGAAAGGCCTTATTGAAATCTTGGAAGTAATCCCTGAATTTATCCCTGAAAGAGAGCAGATGTTTATTTTAGCTCCTTTGTTAAATAAGACAAAAAGGATACAAACAAATATACAAAATAGGGGTGGAGGGACAGAGAAAGATTTTGAGCTTATTTGTGTGTGGTAAGTTCATATAATTTATTCAAAGACTGCCAAACTGTTCACAAATAAACCTCAAACCCAACACCCCCCATTTAATTTGCACATGGAATTGCATGGCTCAAGCCCCCCATTGTAAACAAATGCTGCTCGGGTGATTAACTGTTTACTCTCTCCATTCAGAACTGCAGCTACGAAACATAGTGCTCTCTTTTAAAGCCTGTATGGATCGGAGTTATAAAATATTTAGTACAGCTGTTAAAGTGATAAGGGTTTGGCAGCATACTTTCTGCAATTTGAGGTTCCTGAAACTTTGACTAGTAAGAACTATTTCAACAAAAACACCTGAGCAAAATCTGGAGTAGCGCGGGGCCTGATCCATGCCCAAGGGAAGAAGTGCAGAGCTTCCGCTGACTCACGTGGACTTTGGATCAACACCTTAAAACCTCTCTGAGATATTTATCATTTCTTACCCATGATCAAATTCAGGCCTCAAAATCTTGACTCTTCCTCCCACTTTATTTTATCACTTATACCTCACTGATATCATGGACCTTTTGATCAAACTTTGGAAACCCAGGCAATATCCTTTGCCTCCTGATTCAACAAAAGCCTCTCTGTATTTTGGCTCAAGAGGACAAGGCAGGCACAAACGTCTCTCCTTACTGCACGTCTTCAACTAGCAAAGTCACTTAAGTTTAATGTAAGTTAGAATAGTTGTGAATTACATCCTGATGCAGATTACCAAGTGTACATAATGTAAATTATCTACATCTATTCGGCATTTACAAGATGATACCCTTATGGCAAAAATGACAAGTTTAGGTCTGGGTTAATACCTACAGCTGCACTCCATTTGCTCTGGGATTGCTCTTTCTCACAGCCCTGGGGTACAGAGCATGGAGGCTGGGTTCGTTAGAGAGTCAGGATTTGTAGTAGGTAGTATAACAGGTTTATTATGGTGATAACACGGTTCAACAGTGTAACTGACATAATCAAGCATGATTCATTGCCTCAGCCTCTCACCAAGTCTGTCTGTGGATCTAACAGCTCAGACCAGTTCACTCTGCTCCTTGTTAAGCCACCATCAATAAGCCAGCACCCGAGCCTTGCATTTTCTCCTTTGTAGGAATATAATCATAGAATCATAGAATGGTTTGGGTTGGAAAGGACTTTTAAAGGTCATCTAGTCCAACCCCCCTGCAGTGAGCAGGGATGTCTTCAACTAGATCAGGTTGCTCAGAGCCCCGTCCAACCTGACCTTGAATGTTTCCGGCAATGGGGCATCTAACACCTCTCTGGGCAACCTGTTCCAGTGCTTCACCACCCTCATAGCAAAAAATTTCTTCTTTATATCTAGTCTGAGTCTACCCTCTTTTAGTTTAAAACCATTACCCTTGTCCTATCGCTACAGGCCCTGCTAAAAAGCCTGTCCCCATCCTTCCTGTAGGCCCCCTTTAAGTACTGAAAGGCTGCAATAAGGTCTCTCCAGAGCCTTCCCTTCTCCAGGCTGAACAACCCCAACTCCCTCAGCCTTTCTTCATAGGAGAGGTGCTCCAGCCCTCTGATCATTTTTGTGGCCTTCCTCTGGACCTGCTCCAACAGGTCAATGCCTTTCCTGTGCTGAGGGCCCCAGAGCTGGACGCAGTACTCCAGGGGGGTCTCATCAGAGCAGAGCAGAGGGGCAGAATCACCTCCCTTGACCTGCTGGCCATGCTTCTTTTGATGCAGCCCACGATACGGTTGGCTTTCTGGGCTGCGAGCGCACATTGTTGGCTCATGTCCAGCTTTTCATCCACCAGTACCCCCAAGTCCTTCTCCACAGGGCTGCTCTCAACCCCTTCATCCCCCAGCCTGTATTGATATTGGGGGTTGCCCCAACCCAGGTGCAGGACCTTGCACTTGGCCTTGTTGAACCTCATGAGGTTCAGATGGACCTACTTCTCGAGTTTGTCCAGCTGCCTCTGGATGGCATCCTGTCCCTCAGGCATGTAATCAGTTGTTATAAGGCTAACATGGGATATGCTAAACCTCATATGCTTTTCAGCAATACTCAGTAAGTCTTTTCAGAGCTCTGCAGACTTTCAGGGATCTCCTCAGAGACATCTGGTCTCAGCTGCAGTTACTGGTGCTGTCTTTCCTCTCACAGCATTGCAGAATCCTTGGTTTTCCAATTGTTTTCAAGAAGCTGTAAGTTCAGTACAGCCTTTAGAAGAACAATAAATTTTCCTTGCCAATTGTTTTGCCTAAGAATCTGTCGTTTTGGACTTTGCACTTCATATGAACAAAGAGCAATTTCTCCACAGCCCTCAGGGTCCAGGAAATGTCATTGTGTATGCAAACAGCATCACCTACCTTAAAAAAATCTGAATTATGATATGACTTAGGTGGGTTGTTAGCAATTTATTATATACTTCAGAGCCATTGTACCTTCCACTGTTATATGGACTAAATTGGGAGTACCAGGACTATCTGCTTAACCAAGTTTCAGCTGGCAAGAAACCATTTTCCAAGGACATTCCTCTCAAGTTCAGTGAAAGTATGGATCATTTCTCAGCTTCACAGCTTGCTTGAGCTGTCTGGCAACAGTTTTAACTCAGCTTACCATTGTATTAAGGATATCTGCATATACTTCATGCCTTACAAATCATTTCAGGTCTGAGCTGCTGAACAGGGTGCCATTACTAGACAAAATTTCTGGGACTCCATACCCAAACAAATAGAGCATTAGTGTATGCCATAAGCTGTTCTGATGTTAAATTCAATCTAAATGCAATTTCAGGTTAATGCCCGAGTCAGATACTTACAACAGGTTCAGATGAATCCACATATGGTCTTATCTCTCACATTTTTCAACAGCCTTGTGAGTGTCCTGTACTCTGTGAGGCACGTCAGATCATAGCACATTGACATCACTATGCTGTTACCTCTGAAGCATATACTGCTAAACACAGAAAACTGGTCTGAATTGGTCATATGGGCTGGATATGCAGTGCCCTCGCTACCCAACAGGTGGTAACCTACATGACTTTCTGCGTTGTGTCATCTTCTGTACAGCCTCACCAAACCTAGCCCACTTTCTTCTGAAATAGGATAACACTTTTAAAAATGTATTTCTAAGTGTTATGTCATTCTTTGTGTTGCTTTCAAGAGCAGACTTCTTGAATGCTCTAGAAAGTACATCTTTGATCAGTAATTATTTATCCAACTTAAACTTTATTGTCAGATTGAATGGTTTTACCTAAAAAAAAAACCCCAAACCACAACCCCCCCACCCACCCCACCCCCAAACCCCACACCACTAAAAAGTCACGCTGTTTTTATATTCTGGAAGCTGGTCTTTCTTTCACCTACAAAGTGGTTGGTCTCAGCTCTGACCATAACAGGTCGATAAACAAATATGTGACATTTCTTACAATCAGAGAGCGGAGCCAGAGCTCCGCTTTCTCAGTCTGTGCCTCAAATCGTGGTGTTGACAAGTGCCCTAGAAACACAGGCCACACATTTCCATTGATTATTTTTTCAATAATACTGCCTGTAAGCCATCTTTTGAAGACTTTGGCTGTCTTCTAGTGCCAATATATGTAAGGCCAGGAGTTGTCTTTATTAATGCCCTTAATTTGGGAATTCTTTTCCCAGATTTACAGCCCAGTATGTCCATTTTGTGTAGTAACTCAAAAGTTACTTGCACAGATTACCCGTGTGATATGAACTCTCATGTAACATTCACATGCTAACAGAATTTCTAAACTCCTGGACATGATATGAATCTGTGTGGTTTCATCTCTTTCGCTTTGGATACTTCTTGCAGATAGCTCTGAAGAGTCTCTTCAAAACTCTCCTAGTTTCCTTTCCTGACAGACAGCAGCATGTCCTGCTCCCCTTCTGGTATTTCCATACTGTCCCTTATGACTGTCCTAGCTTCACTAAACAGATTTTTCTATCCTTTTTTTTTTTATATCCTACCTTCCTGGAACCTTTTCTGTATCTTTGCATCTTTGATGCCAATCACTATCTGATCCCTTAAAATGGAATCTCTGAAAACATCATAGCTACTTGACTGATCTGTTATTTTAAGATCAGCTAAAAATTCTTCAAAGGATTCCTCCTTCTGCATTTTCAAATGAAACCTGTGTCTTTCAAAAGTTCAGGTTTCCTTGGGAGTGCAATATTCCTTCAACTTACTTTCTATAGCTGCATGGATTGCCCTCTCACCCTGGCTTAGTTTCATGCCATTAAAAACTTTGATAGCTCCTACTCCTGTAATATTCCAGAAAATAGTTGTGAGCTTCCTTATGATTAATCTAGCCACTGTATATAGGTTTCAAAGCATGATGTGAATCTTTTCAAGGGAACTGCAATATTGCCAGTGTGTTTCAGAGTCTCTAAAAGCCCCTAAAGAGCTATCACCTTTTCTCGCACTTTCAAATCTCTTTTTTTCCAGTTAATTCTTTCCTCTTTTTCACATTCTGCTCCTGTTACCATGTGGTACTTGGTTTACACTCAAAGCAAGACTTGTATTGGAAAGAGCATAGAAGTATGCTGCAGCGGGTGCACATCAGTCAGAGTGCACTTGCATTGCACTCAAGCTGGGTTTACTGTCTTGAATCTCCATGTATCTAATTACTGACTAACCAGCTCAGACTCCTTCAACCTCCTCTTAGATATGAGACCCTAGAGATCCAACATCTCTAATTACATCTCTGAGTTTTAGCTTTTATTATGTTCAGAAGCCTACAGACTTTCCAACAGAGACACAAATCTAAAATCTCCTGACAGAGGGTTTGCTTTTTTTGAGTTACTGTAATGTGCCACAGCTTAAAAACCATGGCTTTACAGAGATTGCAAAAGGGCAATGGTGGAGGAGGATGGGTGCTGAGGCCCAGCAAGAGACCAAGAGAGTCACACCTAGGAAGCAGGATACAGCAGCCTAAAAGTCAAAAACAGCTGACCACCCTAAGGGCAGTTTGTGATTTCAGTGAGAGACTGAGCCCCAGAAGACTGTTTGGCACTGCTCCTTCCATCTTGCAAGGGTGTGCTTTGAAGGTGTGATACGGTCCACTTTGTACCCTCATTGCAGAAAATTTCTAGAACCCTTTTCAACTGTATGTTACTTTCAGTGCCCCTCTTCATCACCACTATCATCTTCCACTTAAATCTTCCCAGTAAAAGTAAAGGCTGAAGCAAAATCAAAACAGTTTTTGAGATTCATATTTTTGGAAAATTGAGGCATTCAACATTTCTGGACTGATAAAAGATTTCCAAGCAATAATTATTCCACTCACAGCAGTAAATATGTGCGGGGAGAAAATGAGGATTAAAACCATAGATCAAGCTACATTGCCAAAAAATAATATTTTCTTGCAAATGTTCTGTATTTTTCTTGAAGAGCTGGAGAGCCACTGTTCAATGTCTGTTTCTAATTTGGGCGATTTGTTCCTGTGAGTTACAACAAAAGCAAAAGGGAAAAAAAAAAGTGCACAGCAGTATGTTTTGAATCGTAAGATGTCCAGAGCTTTTGTCTGCCTCACAGTTTGTAATCACAGGGCACTGAAACTGCTCCAAAGCTGTTAGGGTGAGGTTCACAGCCCTTGCAGAAAGCCAGAAGAAAGGGCACAGGGTGGATGCAGCCACTGTGCAAATAGAAATGAGAGGGCTTAAGCAAGATCACAGAAGGGGGAGTGGGTGCTGCTCCCAATGCTGCTGAAGTGGGTCCTATAACCAGCAAATTTGCACCTCAGGCAAATTCCTCCTCCCAGTCCAAATTTGACAGGTGAAAGGAATCCATTTTCTAACTCATTGAGAATGAAGCAGGGGCCGAGACCCACGTGCATCACTAGGGTTAGGTTTTGCAGCCACTGCATTTCATCCATTTTCCTGACCAAGAGCAGATCTCCTTACATTGACCTTTACAGTAGAAGGGCATGGTGTCCACCTGTGCTTCCTGTATCTGAGCTGTCTTATGTGGTCCTGGAGCGGAAGGCTGACACTTGGCTGGATCACTGCCTTCACAGACACCACGTGGATGGATTTCATCCATCAGACGACTCCGGCTTAAGAGTAATTTATGGCTTTCCAGGGCCTTATATGAAATCTGAGGAGTTCAGAGGCCTGGATTCAACTCCTCTTGCACTTCCAGCTTTCCAAGAGAGAAAACCAGACAGGAACTGCTACCACAGGACTGATCCCACCAGCCAGGACGTGGGTGAGGAAGTGTGGGAGACGAGAACATTCAGGGGAACTGAAAGGTGGCAATAATCGATAATAAGACACACTTTTGCAGACCAGAGCTATTAAGCTGTGAACTAACTTCCAAAGGAAGCTGCGCATGCCAGAAATTTCAAAGGATTAAGAACAAAACTGCATGTCTTACAGAAATCAAGAAAAGCCAGAATCTAACAAACAATTAGAACTTAATTTTTGAAAGGTATATATATACAAGTTCCATCTGCAGGCTTAAACCAAACTCTGTCAATGCCCAGGATGAGACAACCCTGGTGCAGGGGGCAGAATATTCTATGCCCATCTATAAAGGCTGCTCCACTTCAACCAGAAACATCTGGCTCTGATTGCTAGCAGGTAGCTGAATCCAGTTATACTTGACCCAGTCTGCCAATTTCTGTTTTCCTCCAAATTACAGTTAAGCAATCACTATGCTGTCAATGTATACATTTGTGCATCTAGTTGCCATATACATAGTTGTTGTTATGGTAGGTTCTCAGAAGTAAGTAATTCTAAATGATGTGGACCTGCCAGCATGTCACATCATGACTATTTTATTTTTACCCAGCATGTCTTCCCCATTGATTTAATTACTCTCCAGCTGCTTCAGGATGACTATTTGCATCTTCGAGCCACACAGCATAATTTCTGCTTGCAGCACAAGCATCTTCCCTACTTGCAGGGCTGCTTCTTACTTACAGCACTGGAGGCAGGGCCGTCTTGTACTTGGCACTACACTAACAGGAAAGAAATAGAAGGTTCCTGACCAAAATAGCTCTTCATCCAAGTGTAAGACTAGAGACAACTGTTTGGTACAACAAATGGAGCGGAAGAGCCCAGTATGAGACAGTTAGGGCCTAAGTTTCACATCAGACGGTTACAAATACAGCAATAAGCAATGCCTACAACACAGCAGCTGCCTAAGCATCTCTGTTGTACATTATGCAATTTTTTGCAGGTGGAATGCTCATTGATACCTGTGGGTGTCATAAGTGCAGTTTATGCCAGAGAGCTGCAATGCAGGTGGGAGAGTTGTGATGCTGAAAAGAAAGGACAGTTTTGCCCTTGGTTCCTTCAGCCTATTTGGGACACTGAAAAACAGAATTTTAAAAAAGCAGGGTAAAAAGGCAAAAGCCTTAGCTTACAGGCTTCTCTCTGTGTTTTGTGGGGTTTTTTGTCTAATGATTTCCCAAGCTGCCTCTTTATCTGCAAGACAAGGCTGCTCTTTGTTTATGAGTGTATCGTCTTTACCAACAATGTCATGGGGAATTATCATTCTTATCAATAATAATTTATTAGTTCCTACAACTTCCAGACACTTTCTGAGCACAAAAGAAAGCAAATCTGTGCTCTTGGGGGTATATTTTCACATGTTATTTGCTCCTGAGGGTTTATGCTCCTAGGTTAAAAAAAACCCAAACAAACCAACGACAGTTCAGGAGAAGAGTGAAAGCACAAGCAGAAAACATGATAAGCATCCAGGTGGTGTCTATCCACAACCTGGAAATGTAAAGTTTTAACAGCACTGTACTGGGGCAGAAGATTCTCCTGCTGCCTCAATCTGCTGGCAGGTGCGGAATCCTATAGCAACAGCAGGCTAATCACTGCTGACTCACTAGGGCAAGCATGGATCATTAGACTCCACTCTGAGTAGGATATTATTTTGTCATTTGTTTGTCGAATGCTCTGCTCAGGAGCAATGACCTATTAACTCTGTGAGTGTTGATTTTGTTTGAGGCAGAGACTCCTCTTGCTTGGAGACAAGATGCTTATTTCTGTCATATGGAGCCAGGGTCCATCCTTGTCAAGGCTGTTTTTTGCTGCATCTACAAATCCATTTACCAAAAATTTAACTAGCTGCTAGAGGGATGTGAAACCAACTGTGATTGCTACTTGGCCCTCATCCAAGAGACAGGGTAGGATATGGGACCACAGTGTCCTACACACCCAGCCATTCTAGCTGCAAGAAAAGCCCCTGTTGAGTGTAATCAGGTAGATCTAAGTTTACGTTGCCCAAAGCAGTCTGAGAAGAAGAGATCTGCAGGGTGACAAAAACTGCCCTTGCTCTTCTCCCTCAGTCTGAGCTGACGCAACGTTAGGACTGGAACCACAAGCTGAGACGATACCAATAAACAGGCCAGGGAATGCTCTGGGCACAGAGGCCAGCTGGCACATCTCTGCTAGTGAACCTTCTTAGCTGCCGAAAGGGAGCAGCTGCCTGCAAACTGCCTATTGGGAATGGTCCTTGAAGCATTCTTGCTCCCAAACGGTGCTGGGAGTGATCAGGGAAAACATTAGCTGACACAGGCCAAAGCATGATGAGGACTGTTTTGGCAGTCTAGCAGCATAGATGACTGATTCTGGGAATGTCTCTGGGCGTTCTGATTTGTCAGTATAGATGCTGCCATAAAGTCTGTAAAATAAGTAATATAAGCCATGGAGAGTATCTATAAAAAAAGTCTCACAGGGCACACTGAGCTATGCTTATCTCCAGCAAATCAAGGGAATAACACTATGGATAAGCTTGGTCCAGTACCTCCTGAGACTCCTTTTCAAAGTCTTTTTTTTGGAAAATTACATTTGTATTGTACATAGTGTCATCTTAACAAACTAAACACAAACATAGAAAGTTATATGCTAAGCTCATAAATAACTTACGTGATCTGCTTTTTAATTTCTCTTACACGCAGAGCTTTAGTTTGTTGTTTCTGGTGCTCTTCCAGCTTTGAATGCTTCTTTTGTTGATTAATATTATGTGCTTGTAAATGTGCATAACTGTCTTCCATGATGCATCTGCTGAGCCCCGTGTCTGCGGGTGCAAATGCTATCCCCAGTTTCTGTAAAAATTCTTAGTGAGTAAGATATCCCTTTGCATCTGTATCACACCTTGAAAAATAAATGCTCTTTTTAAATATTCATGTGTTCTTCATAGAAAGACAGCTTAAATCTCAGTGACTTCCCTTCCTTATAGAGGTGCCATACCACACTGAGAATGAGTGACTTTATGAGAAACTCAAAAGATAGGGCTTACGCATTGTAATCACAGAGTTGATTCTGAAAATACTACCCTGAGGACCAAACTGTCAGGAGTATTCTCCAGCTCTCACTACTGCTGCGTTTCAGTGTCTGGCTTGAGACACCAGGAGAACTGGGCTCCTAAAATGTCAGTCTCAAGTGTCTCAAACTGATCACACAAGTCTGAGATACTCAGAATTGCAATCATCCTTCAGAAACATAGGTTTAGCTTCATAAACACTTTTCATATTTTCTTAGGTATAAGCCATTCCATAGGCTTTTTCCCCTGCAGTTTCTCCCCCTGCTAGTGCTCTGATGCATGGTAATGCCTAATTTAGCCTCAGCTTCACTCTAATTCCTTTATTCAAGTTACAGACTTATCAGGCACGTAAGAGATTTTAGCTATTCTATAAAAGGAGTGGCTGATGGAAGTGAAGTTGCACAGCAGATAACTGCATGAAAAGGATACTCTTCAATGTGCCATGGCATCCATAAGGAATAAGAATGAAAAGTAAAATCTAATGGAGTAGAAAATAATTCAGAGATGAATCAGTGCTAAGAAGAAACTATATAGTTAATGCAGTTTAAAACCAAAATGCAATACACTCAGATTCTATGTTAGAGTGATGATTTTTTTAAATAGATCTGTAGTGAAGGTAGCTTTTTATATAATGTCACATACAGCTGACACCTATGCCATTTCAAACACAGTTTATAGCACAGATCCTCTTTGTTGAAGGCAGACAAGTATTTTCCCCCACTTCACAACAAATTACTTGTCTATAAAAACATTTCATGATATTGCTTGTCATCTTTACACAGCATGAAATTACCTTACTTTCTTTTGTTATGTATGTGGTATGTAGCATTTTTCTTTTGACTGAATCACTTTTATTTAGGCTGAAAATATTGTAAGTAAATTTAGTACTCTGGAAAGGAGAGGCTCGTAGCACCGCCTTTAGACAGGTATGCAATGCAGACCCTCCACGGAGCTCCTCGATGGGAACTTTGTCTACAATTCCCAGCTGACCTGTGACACTTGGAACTGACTTCCACCCATCACAAACTAAGGTAGGCATTTGTGTGTATAAACAAAATTTATGAAAACCAAGTTAATTTAACCAGTGACCTAAGGTGCTGTCCAAGAAGAAAATGTATGTTAAATTAAAGGGATCAGTAATACTGAAGCCAAGAGAAAGTCCTATCGGAAGCTGATGGATCTAATTGTATTCTTGAGCTTAGTATGGTAGACATAGCCTCCTGTAACACAGTGTCATGATCTGAGGTCACAATCATAACAAAATAAAAGATTTCTTGTGCAGTGTAATCTATTGTCATTCGCTGCACTACCAAAGGCTCTGTAATCCTATAAAAGATATATTATTGCAAGAGCTAATAATTTAGAGTTGTCATACCTCGCCCAAAGCTGCTTAAATTCTTCCGGGGTGATTGGAATGCCAAATCTGAACAAGACTTTCTTCAAGTTCCTTGGCTGTATAATGCCATTTCCTTCACTGTCAAATTCCTGAAAATTCTGGAATATAAAAAATCATCCCTAACAAGAACGAACAAGTTTGACAAAATGTTTGATCTCTCTATAAGCTTAATGAATAATGGGAATTGAGGAAGAGATGGAAAATCATGCATATCTGAATTTCATCTTTTAATGTTTTTTCATTTGATTTTCACTGTTTCCTACTTTCTGCTACGGATGTGCAACTTCCAAAAGTTTGAATTGGGATTGACATCACAGGTGTTTAGGTGATGTATTCTGTGTGGAAAGTGTCTTACTGATGGCAAACACAGGGGATATGAGCATGAGAAGCGTGCATGCAGCGGTGGGTATGCCCACTGCTGAAGCATGCCAGTGGAAGATGAAGGCACTGGAAAATGGCAGACCTGCAGATTTTCTCCCCAACTTGTTCTATGCCTAATATGAATTAGATTTTGCTTTGCATTTTGGTTGGTTGGTTGGGTTTGTTGGGTATGTTACCATTCATCTTGCAAACTGAGAACACCAGTACTATTGTCTGATTTACACAAACATTTAATGAAAAAATTACATTAGTTTTTCCTTGTGCTACTCTGTTGTCCAAAAATTGCAACTATTTAACAAGTTAAAAAAGGTAAAAAGGTGGAAATAATTTTTATAGGACAGTTTTGTGAGAGTCTTTTTGGACAGTGTAAGCATTGCAGTCAATGCTTCACTGTGCTGGGCAACGCTGGGTTTCAGCATAGGAGTAGTTGTGTGTTTGTGTACAGCATGTAGTCAAATAGGCCTCAGATGAAGCCCATTACTACTCTTACAGCAGAAACATTAAATAAAACCAACAACAGTAAAATATTAAGAAAGTTTTAGAAACAACTGTGATAGCATCTACTACATAATCAACATTACAAAAATTGAATATTATTCAAATTGTTGATTTTTTTAATCACATAGTAAGTTTTTATCATTAATGAGCTATTTTGCAAGCATCTCTGAATATTTATAGAATCTGAAGATCAACATTGCATAACGTTCTGAAATCTATTAGTGCTGCTTATTTATTTAAAGAAAACATTCTTCTTACCCTTGCTAGGTCATGCCATCTGGTTCTTGCTTTGATAACAAGGTAGTAATGAGCGTGATCACAAGCTAGCTCTGCATCCGTTATCATCTGTTTTTTTCTCAGAACAGGAAAAAAAAATAACAACTAACTATGTTTTACATTAGTGGGATCTTTAATCTCCACAAGTTTCCTTCCCTTTTGTTATTCTTCACAGTAGTGGTGGTTTTGTTTCCTAGTTTCTACGATACCCATTAAAGACTGTTACTTCACAGCTGTGTAAACCTAATTCTTTAAATACTGCCCTATTTCCCTAGCTGCAGGTTAGCAAAGGTGTTTTAAATTTTGTAATTCCCTATTTATTTTCAAATCAATGTTGTTCAATTCTCCCTCAAACTCAAGAGCCAGCATGGATCATTTATACACATAGAAGGAAATGTTAATTATCTCAGAAACAGTTATATCCTGGAGTGACTCCAGGAAGATGATCCTTGATTTGCATCAATAACGTAGATCAAAACTATCTTTGTGAGTCACCAAGGCATGGCTAGGAAGTCTGGGGAGTAAGACCCACATTTGCAAATTCAGCCACCATTACAAGTGCCTAACTTTTGGGGGCCTGGTGCTTCTGGTTGAATCCAAGTGTGCAGAGGAATATGGGTGCCTCTGAATAGGATCCAGCATAGCTACACAGAAAGCTGAATAAGTCTGGGTGCTGTGCAAGGACAGACCTACCAAAGAATCGAGGGGACCTTCCGTCTCACCATTCTTCTCACTGGAGAAGAGCAGCCCTTCTTTTGGTGCCCAATTCTCTCTAGCTTTTCTAAGCATTTCCAGTTAGAAAACTGAGGAAAGGATGGTCATTTCTCTTAACACACAGCTGCCCACCTTGTGCTATGTCTAGTTTCTCCTCCAGCTATTGCTTTGTAAGGAAATGCTGCAGACATATGGCTTCAGAGCTTGGTTCAGCCACGCTCTCAGAATACGCTCCCTGGACCAAAATCCTCAAATGAGAGGCAGAGGAATATTGGGTCTGCAGACCAGGCGAGATGTGGTAACTACATCTGACCTATTCACTGAGTTCCTGTACCACCCATGGCACGCGCAGAACTCGGCTCCTGCAACGCTGCAAACTCAGCCACTTCTGAGCTCCCAGGACTCTAGGCCTTCTCAGCCTTTGCTGAGGGCTCCATTTGGATTTAGAAACTTAAATGCCACATTAATCTATTTGAGGTGCCTGGGAACCTTCTGAGTTTTCCTCACTCCCACTGCTTGAGAGAAGATTCCATAAGCCTAAACAATCCACCAACAAAAATAGTCTAAAAACTTAGCTGGGAAAACGCAAGTGCTCTTAAGGCTTTCAGTCACTGTATTTTCTTTGCTGGACTTCTGAAACAGTAATAGTATTTGAAATGAGGAAATTCTGATGCTAAATTCAAAATGTTTCAACTTCTAGCTAAGTCCAAACTGAAACAGAAATGAGAGCACAATAGTAATTGGTCTCAGACTCCAACTATTAACAAGACTCAATCATCACCAGTTTCCTTTCTTGATTTAGACTGATGTCCTTAATTCACTCAGTTGTCCAATTCAGGAAAAAAGGAAAACAAAACAAGCAGATAAATATTACTAGCATCAGAGCCAACAGTAATGCTGTAAGAGACAAATAAAAACTGGGAAATAAGCCTATGTGTATATATCACATCTTCACTGCCACAGCGGAGATGAGTTGCTGATCAGGAGCTTTTTCAGTCCTGCTGTATCTTGTCAGTATTTTTATGAATTTATCTCTGTTTGCATAGTTAAAAAGAGTTTCACAATGAGTTTTTAGAATGCGTTTTTTAGTGCCTAAAAGCTATTTATTATTAAAGTTAAGCTCAAACTCTAAAATTCCAGACGTTTTAAGCAGCATCACTTCTTGCAGGAAGGGAGGCTGCAGCAGTATTCTCCCTATCCTCCACCCACTCCACAGTGCCTCAGTGCTTCTGTGCACCTCACCTGATCTTGTCTACTCTCAGTGCCCTGGAGGCATAAAGGTCTGGAGCACGAGGCTTTGGGCGACTGTAATGTGTACTGACAACAATATTAGTCTCAGAACTGACAGACACTGTGCCAGACAGGTAATACCCTGGCTGCTCCTCAATCCAAAATGACTTCTGATTCCCAAACCATGTCCCCAGTTCTGCATGCTTGGAAGATGCAGCAAAGTTGTCCAGTTTGGAGGCTAGCTCAGCTCTACAGCTCCAACTCAGGCACCAGTATATATGTTTGACCTTACAGATTTAAGCAGTCCGCAGGGGTAGTTTTGGCATTTGAACCTAGCGGTGGTTAGGTCATTTACTGGAGTCATAAATCACCCAACTTCAGCTTGATAAAGACATATTTTAATACTACCTTTTTTCAATTATACCCAATAGAAATTTCACACAGCATATTCATTTCTGTAAACAAATCAGATTACTGTAGGTACTACACAACTTTTTCTTTCTCACTTGTGAGATGGCACAAGCCAAGGAGGTAACTCCTTAGTTTCTTGGGTGTGGAACAGTTTACAGAATTCTTGGTAATTTAATGTGGACGTCAGGTTCACTCCCAACAAACCAAGTAGGCACAGGAATTTCTCATCTCTAAGACAAAGCAGAAAGCTGTCCAAGAATTGCCGAAAGTCAAGCATGTTGATGATACCGTCATGGTTACTGTCTGTTTCACGGAAGGCAGAATAGGTGTCCTAACAAGGAATATTTAACTAAATATATTTAACACATCAACTACATATTTTTAAACATAAATAACAAATGTTTGCTCTAGACTTGTTTTGACAACAGGCAAATATTTTAACGCAGTTTGAGAATACAAAGCATTTCTAGTACTGCCTTACTAAACACTTGGGATAGTCTGCAGTAAACTGCAGTGTTACTGCTGTCATCTCAAGCAGGTACAGAACTGAGCACAAGTAGGGAGCATCAAAAAGCCACCCCCATACAAATTTACAAATCCACTTTCCATCAGTACTATACTGAGAGGTACCTCATTTCTCCCCTTGCACACCCTTAGAAAACCTGTAATGAAGAGAGACTTTACAGCAATTGATCTATCAGCTCAACAGCTTCTCCCATTAGAATAGACACAAAATGTTCAAACGCCTTTAAAATGGTGCAGTTCTTCAGAAATCTGAAGTAATGCTGATCAATATGATTAGCTTTGTTAGGGGTGTCCAAGCTGGTTTGAACAGACGATCCCTTTCCTGAATGCTGATCTTTCCACTTCTCCCAGGGAACAGGGATGGGATGGGATGAACTGAGCAAAAGTGTAACCATTGCGACTTCTGTCCTTTGTAAAATGTGATCTCTCTTACTCTGTGCATATCCATGGCGGGAATTCAAGGAGTACATGCTAATGGCAATTACAGAAAATAATAAGCAAGTGTAGAAAAGCTGGAACAAAACTCTTAATTAAGATCACTGTGTTGCAAACTTTAGGGACTAAGAACGTCTTCTTGAAAGATCATTCTCATGAATAGATGGACTGTTTCATGAATGACTAGTACAGAGTTATTCTTTTCTAATTGCAGAATATTTAATAGCTATGCTCAAAAAAGGATGTGAAAAAATAACTCAGATCTTATTTTCCTGGCAGAGGCTGCAGAGAAGACAATTAGGGGAAAAAAAAAAAAAGTTTTTGCCTTGAAAACTCAATTTTGAGTTTGAACTGGAATTTTCTGAGAACACAGAAGACATGAAATCCAACATAATTTTTAGAGTCACTTTACTGACACCTCCTCCAAACCAACTTTTAAAACAAGTGTTTGTATCAAAATAACAACCAGATTCACTGCCAAAAGCAAACCATGTCTCAGTGTATTTACCCCATAGGCTTCCATCAGCTTATCATTAATTTGACTGAGACATTCTTCAGCAGTCATGTAGTGATATTTAGCACCATTTACTCTGTGGCTTGGGCTGTTACATAGTGTAGGTCCTGGCCCATTCAATCTGGCATCTGCAATAATGAAATCGAAGTATAGTAAACACTGAAAAGATTATTTTAAACATATCTGATAAATAGCACAGTAATATAGTATAAACAAAACAAGAAACCCTGCAATCGTATTCCTTACAACCCAGACATGATAAACTCCAATAGCTGTATGCAGTATTAGTGGCATCCACCCCATTTACAGTAATGGCCTCAGCTGCAATAGTTTTCCCAGCACAAGGGGAAGAAGATAATCTCAACTGAAGAAAGCACAGCTGAGACAAGGTCGTCTTCTTTTGCTTTAGCCTTCTCTGGTGCCTGGTTGCTTGGAGGAAGGCAGGTATCAGACTGGAGGAGGAGAAAAGGAGCACCATGAAAGCCGTGACTTGCTGTCACACTGCCTGTCTGTCTCAGTGAGGGAACACAGGTGCTGCATACAGGGTCAGAGAAAGTAATTTGTTACATCTTTGACTGTGTAGCACAACCACTGCATGCTAGACCATCTCCCCTGGAACGATTCTATCCTGGCTGAGCCATCCTCTGGTTCGAACCAGTGTAAGCTATTTCAGGACATCTGCCATCGAAACACTCCTGACTTAAGAGCGCATCACCCCTGAAACTATTTCACCTGATGTTCTGTTCTGGCAAGACTCAGTCCTGCACAAACAGCAACTTCATAATGTCACAAGTTTACTATCCCACAGCCCAGCAGGATCAGGAAAGGTCAACAGCCAGCTTCCCAGCAGGGCACCCATGTACTTCCAGTCCTGAAGGGCTAAGGTACTTCCAGGCCATAGAAAAGCTATTTTGGTCACCGTTCCATATCTGATTCCTTCTGCTCTTTGTGCAGTGATACTCTAGGAACTTTTTATGCCTTGCTTCTGGGGAAAAAGAGACTAAGCATCTTTTGTAGCCTCTTAAGCATTTTAGAATTTTTCTGCAACATATGAGCCATACAGAGGAATAAAGTAATTCATGTCAGATTTTAAAATGGGAAAAATGTGCAAAGAAAAATGTACACACTGATATTTCACTACACCCTACTCCTGATTGATAAGAAAAACGCTAAGTTAATGGTCTGTTCTAAAGGAATGTTTCTTTTCTTTTTAAAAGATCTACATACACTGACACACAAGAGCTCGTACAACTACCCCGAAGAATCACTAAATAGCATTCAATACATCATTTTAACTTCTCCTGATTTTACCCTTTAAATCCTACTCCCTCCTACAGACATGCACTATCCTTCCTTTTTTTCATTTCCAGTTTCTATTGAGGTCTAGTCAAGAAAATTTGTACTTGTGCTATCTTCCCCCTAAAGCTTATAAGAAGAAAATCAGGTCTCTCTTTCTGTAACTACAGACCACCCTCCATCCCAGTGAATCACAAATCATTGAAAAATAAAAGTTAGGAGGGTTTTTTCTTTGCCTTCTACTTTTTGAGACTTACTTTGTGTTAAATGTGGGTCACACTTCCTTTTACAACTATGGGATAATACTGTATGGAAAGAAAAGCTGTGATTCTCACAATTGGCAAAAACAAAAACTTTAAATACAGACAAAACACTGTTGATTCTTGATTTAAATAAAAGAGCTGGCACACTCATTTTCCCCAAGGTTAACCTGTTTCAAACATCTTTTATTAGGTTACTGGATGAAGGCGCACATATTTTGGTTGACAGATGATTAGCTGGCTATGTTAACAAACTTCTAAACTTCTAGGCCTGAATGAAGAAAAACCTGAATATCATGTCAGCCAGCCACAAGTCAGCTCTCCCTCTTGTCTTTGTTCTAAAATAGAAATAGTGACAGCAGAAAATAATAGTAATGGTGTGAAGAAAGGAAATGCACACCTCTGAGAAAAATAACAGAGCCATAATATGGAAATTAAAACAGGCCTTGAAGCCAATGGCAAAACTGCCATTGACTTCACTGGCATCAGAATTTTACCTATAAAATAAATGAGAAATTAATAATTACTTACTAGCATTAGTTTGCACTCAGGGTTCCACCTTAAGAAGTCAGTTCAGATCCCATCAGCTTCATTTTTGAGTTGAAAATCAAAACCTTTACTTACAGTGCTTTGAAATCAGTGAAATTATTGATGGGGTAAGGCAAGTAGCTGAGGTGAAAAAATGTGCTCCCAGATTATCAATATATTCCTCTGGTATTCATTCCTCAGCAACAGTAAGTCAATGAAGACCACATCCTCATTATATGGGTGGACAATACATCTACATCTACACAAACAGCGAACCTTTCTCTCTCACTGGGATTCTTGATACTCTAATAAAACTATCAATTACATTATAGATAATCACATTTCAGCATTCAGTAGTAGCAACATCCCTTAACAGCTTTAACATTCAAAAGCAGTACTTTATATTAAAACCATGATCCAATAAGCAACCGGATCACACCACAGAGCTCCAGTCGTATATACTGCCACTAGAACTCATCACTGATGGCTTACTAACAGATCTTCCTTTCCTGAAAGGACCAGTTAGCGTTTTCTGGCTTTTTACACAGAATAGAAAAAGTTGCTGGACATCACTACTATAAAATCATCCACTGTAATTTAGGATACAACATAATTCCAAGACTGTGAATAAGAGTTAGAAATGCTGAGGACAAGGATCTACTCAAGGCAGAGCAATCAGTCAGTTACTTCTTGCAATCTGTTAGTGACAATTCCATGGCACCTACCTGTGGACCTTTAGTTAGTTCACATCCCACATGTTCCAGTTTCCCTCTTGTCCTGAGTTAGATACTCAGCACCTTAGCTGGATCAGGAGTCAAAGAACTACAGAGAGGAAGGTCATCCGTGTGCTAAAAATCGTATCACTGATCTCTTCCTAATTTCACCAATAGCCTTTCCTCGAAAGAGAAATGTTCTGGATCTTCCAGGAAAGATTTGTTTCATGCTCTATTGTGGTTAAAATTCCTTTACCTTCCAGTATTGCCACAAAATCCAGATAACTCAACCCTCCATCTGATAACTCTAGCTTTTCTGTTAGTATATTAAATTGACTGTCATCCATTGGCATGCCTTATCTTCCAACACCTGTTAGAAGAGAAATAAAATAAGTTATATAACGACCTGTTTTCTTGCTTAATATGCCATTTTGAATACCAAATATCTAGGTGTTTTATCCTATGGCTCAAGTTGAAATTACTCGAAAATTGATCTCTCTTCCTTACACTTACAGTAAGCTATTTAAATATAGATCTATTCTGTACAACTTCAATTCTATACAGAGACAGAGAGCAAAATTTGACTATACTTTTGAGATTGGCATTTTAAGCAAAAGCACCGAGTGACAGGCTAAGATTAAACTTCACCTGGAAAGGAAAAAGTGCCAGAAGAAATGACATTAGCTCATTTAGCAGACTGGAGGAAAACTGTCATTTGTAGAATTTGCTGCTACCACTCTTCCACGCAAGCCTGCCACAATCACCTCCTGGACAAGAAATGCTGCAGAATGGATTCAGGCCCCTGAACTACATACAGCGGCAGCAAGGTGGGAGGCAAAATTCCTTCTGCATTGCTGCTCTTCAAAGCAGATTTGGGGATGCATTTTAGGTAACCTATTTTGGCAAGGAACTTTCTGATCTTCCTACATGCCTCCCACGCCCCCTTCTCTTTTTTTTTTTTTGCAGGCCCTCTACCTCTCTGCATCTAAGAGGTGCAGCAGTCTGGAGTGGCAGCAGTGTCCCATTGCACCCCTCTTAACGTTACCTGGCAGTGGACTGTGGAAGAGTCCCTGGTTTTCTTCTACTTTTCCCATCTCCTGTTTCCCTGAAAAGTTGTTGCAGGCCCTGCTGCTGCTGCTGAAGGATTTCTCCAAAACCCTTCATTTCCTTCAGCTGCTTTGTAACTCCTGATTTAGGTGTATTTCTTTATAACTATCCTGCACAGCTCTGTCCTGACTTTCCAAGTGTTCCTACAGCAATTACTCTTGCCATTATATTTTAGTTAATTGTACAGATTAAAAGAAAAAAATCATTAAATAGCTGAACAGCATAAGGACTGTTAAAAAAGTGAGAATAATTAGCAAATTATCACTCCTTTCTATGAATGTAAAACTTCTGGATAAGCAAGCACATTTTATGTTCAGTTGAACAAGTATTTACCATCAGATCAAATGCTTAATAGTAGCGATAAGGAAATCTGGCTGCACAAATCTAATCAAAGCTGGAGAGAATCAGTCACAATAGTAATGTTGGTGACTACAGTCTCAACTATTATCACTTTCATCTAGAGGAAAAAAAAGTGATAAAACTCTGCCAAAACTGCATGCAAGATCAAGTCATATTAAATTGTATGACTAGGTCATTGTCCTGGGGTGAATAGCTCACAAAAGGCATACTTTCTAAGTCATTTTTAAAGGAAGAGGATTGATGATAACCTTACAGGAAGGAGATATTGTAATTCTTCACAAACCTGAAGGTGCACATACAAATTGTGATGTTACCCCAGGACCCCTGACAGAGCTTCAGTTACCATCTTCCTGATTCTGAACTGAATTAAAGATTAGACAAGTCCAAAGGTGCAAAGGCAGGGTCTGTGCCCAGTTGCCCAGTTCCTAGGAGAGCCAGGCCAGTGAAGCCAGAGGTACTACACTACTCTTTGGTAAAGGAGGTGGAGTTCGGCATCCCCCTTCACTAACCCACCTCACACCTATGGTACTCCACAGGCAAGCAGCTAAAAGGTGTCCTTATGCTGTTAGTGGTAAAGAAACACAGAGAACTGACAGTGTTGGTATAACCTGGGTGATTTTACATCTGGATTTTTGGGTTATTCAGGCATACCAAGATCAATTACCCTTCAGAGGAATGTAAGGGTGCATTCTGTCCACTCCCTTAATGCCACTGTAACATAATGGTATACAAATAAACAGAGCTTATCCACTTCCAAGTTGGGCAGACAGCTTTTGCCCACCTCTATGTCTTGGCCTGGAATAACAAATCAGGAAACAAGCATGCTTTTATGTTTACCACTACCACACTACACTATTACTGTTTGAATAATCTATTCTACCTCTGAGAACAAGCAACTCTGCCCAGCTGTACACCAGCTGCCTGGCTACCCTAAATGAAGCTGTAGATCAGAGTAGTAGTTTCAAACGTGCCGATAAGGTGGGCGATGGTGTTGGCACACCTGCCCAGCTACAGAGTCAGGATCCAGTCAAAGAACAACATACCACTGTAGACCAGTTTAACTTCAGTGGCACCACAAAATGCCTTACAATGTACCCACCTAAACGCACTTGGGACATGCCATATTGCCTACAACATTTGCGATAACCTAATGTATCCAAAACATCTATATGCAGCTGGCAGATGTGGTATAGAGAGTCCTACATCCTTCTGAAGCAGCAGTTGGAGGCCAGGGGAGATTCCCCACAATGCCTACAATGGTGTTAGACAGCCATATCTAGATGTTCTTTATCTACCGCTGAAACTATGAGCTCTGGGATGAAAAGCAACTGTGCTCCCAAGGCAGGGATTGACGAACATCTTTGTAGAAGTGTCAGGAAAATTAAAGCAGGAAGAATGTGAAAACTCCCAGCTGGAATTGTACCTAGACAATGAGGTGGAAAAACCCTTTCTTTTGCAAAAGGTGCAGAGATCTCTAAAGACCACAAGTGATGGAGAATCAGTTTCAGTCTGCATTTCACTTGACAACACACATACCCAGGCAGTTCCCAGAGACATAAGGTAGTCTGTCACTTCAGTTCTGATGAGGAATCCCTTTAATGACCTTATCTGCAGAGAGCTCTCATCCTCATTCATTCCAGGGTGGGCTTATTTCACTCAGCACAAGGCAGGGCAGAACAGGACTGTTGCAGGGAAGCATGCCTCTTTTGAATGATCATAACCAGCAGCAGCAGGGCAGAATTCCTGGGCAGTATTCCACCCAGCTGGACTCTGCTGAGCTTGTAGGGTCCAAGAACATCACAGTGCAGTGATGCATATACCTGGCTGCAGGTACATGATGATTTTTTATCCTTTGTGCATTGCCAAAACTTGAGAAATGCATCATCCATAGTGTAATAAAAGAACAATGAAATCAGAAAGACTAACTGTTCAATAGCTTCTGGTGCTATACAAATATCTTAAATGTGAGTTGTACACAGACAGCCAACGCAGAAGAAAAAACAGCAGGTAGAATGAGTTTGTTCTGCCTAACAGCGACAAAACGCGTGTTACTGCATTAGCTGCAGGCAACATACAAGCCTCTTAGGTATCACACTGTAGTGTAAATCACAGCAGCCAAAGCCAGTGTCCCAAAGGTATGTGCCACAGATGTCAGATCTGTATGGGAGGAAGGGTTGCAGCTTAACACATTCTTAATAAGTGTATTATTAACAAGAAAATATTAAGAAAAATGGAAAATGTTTTATGTGTTTTGTCCTCCATCTTTCCCTCCATTTCAAAGCAATTTCACTTCCTGCACGCAATTGCAGAAAGATATCCACCTGAGGGTAAGAAGATGTGCAGCTGAATGCAGCTACGGTGTTCACAGGGGAGGGCTCTATAGTAACAGCCTTCATCCTGTCATATCCAGTTCCTACCAGCTACCACTGTGGAGTTGTAAAAGAGGGCTTAAGGACTCTGAATTAAGGCTTAGGTGGTTGGTTCTTTAAGGTATGCCCACTCCACATAAGAAATGTGTTCTTGGTCCCAGTTCATACATGTTCTTTTTGACAGCTGCGACCAGTTGAAGCTTTCAAGCTGTAGTGCTGCTACAGGATGACAATTTTATGTCTTTAAAGACAAGCTGAGATTCTTTCTCATACAATAACCTGCATGAGACCTGTTTAGCTCATCAGTAACTGAAACAGTCCTGGAGGATTTAACTCTAGCTGTGTGAGCAGGCACATTGCTAAGACAGTAAGTATGTTTCTGGGAAAAGTACACAAGGGAGAAAAATAGCTAACATTTTTTCTACCTTCCACAAGCCAGCTTTATTAATTTTCCCATGCGATTGCTTGTTATAGGCAAAAAAGCTGTCTTTAATAGTTGCTGCCTGTTGTATCACTCTGTCCTTCAGCCTTTTAATTACTTCATCAACAGTTCTATTCTGGGCGTATTTGTTAGCTTGATCTTCAATCTGCTTGATTCTAAAATTGAAAGATTGTGCATGAGGACAAGTCACTTATTTTTTGTAGTTTCAAACATTTGATTCAGCAATAACGAACAAGACTGCTTTGATGACAAACAAGACATAGACATGGAAGAAGCTTCTTTGATGCAAACCAAAATGATAGGATGATCAAGTTAGAGCACACATTGATTCCAAGGCCTATATTGTGCAAACTTTTCTTATGTATAGTTTGCTTTACAGAAAAGAAAAGAAAAAAACACCACAAACACAAAAATCAACTGATAGTGCTCTGAAGTATTTCTTTTGCAAATGGAGATTCTAGACCTCCAAATCACAGGCTTAGTTTCTAATGAGCCTGAGTTTCTACATCAGCTAAGGAGCCACCTTTATCCTTTAATACCTCCTCAGTTAACATGAGATGGCTAAGCTAACATGAAATAAGTTAATGAAAGTATTTCCATTGATTTTAAAAGGAAAAAATATCTCTTATGGCGTTTTGTCTCTTCCTGGGTCCCAAGTAAATCACTTCTACGCTTCTTCCATTTGGAGGAATGGCCAGAATACCTTTCTTTCTCAGGTCCTAGAAGAAAGTTCGTAGCTATGGACTATATAATCTTCTTGCTGAAATACCACAACCTTCATCAATAAGCCATTAAAATAAATAACAATTAAATATTTAATAACTTTTAAAGACAGAAAAGAAATTAAATTAAAGGGTATGTAATGTGTCCCACTTGCACCTATTTTACATCCATTATGAATTTACTATAAGCCATGAAAAGGAAAGTTAGAACAATTATTTTTGTTAAATTTTAGAGCATGTATTTCCATATAAGCAAAATGTAGAAATATTCAGCAGTCTTGTTTTATAGATTTAAGTGTGTTTTATAGTATTCCCTAAACTTGAAGGTAATCTTAACATTTTAACTCTTATTC